AAAAAGGCATCTCCCCGTGCTTTTGTCTCCATTCAGGCTGCTGCAAAACTGCCCCAGATGGAAACACAAACCCTGGCCTTAATGCAGATAAATCACAGCAGGACCAAAGACCACACCTGTCCTTGGGGGGAAAAACTCTCTCCTTTGTAACCAAAGCTCAGGGCTGGAGGAGAAATGCCTGGTGGACCTTGCTTAGAGGCTGCACCCCAGCAATGATAGAGCAAAGAGGAGCTGTGCAGTTCACGGAACAGCTGACCCACAGACCGCAGGACCCCAAGGGAGCAGCAGCGCAGCAGTGCCATTGGCACCAAAACCCCTGAGTATCCAGCAAGTCCTAGCCCCAGAAATGCCCAAAAATAAGCCTGCTCTCTCCTCCCCTGGCTTTCCCTGCAGGAAGTGGGTCAGTGGAGCATTTCTCCTTTCTCTCTTGTTTCTCATGTCAGAGGCGTCTCTGAATGATTCAGGCAGCAGGAGCACAATGGCCACACTCCTGACACAGGGTGCTCAGGGGGCTGCACCTGCTGGAGCTGGGGACGACAAACATTTGGAGGTCTTACTGGCCAGAGGATGTTCCCCATGGCTGTTGGCTTCATACAGCTATTGCTGAATGATCTTTGCTCCTCAAGTGTCAGAGCAGCCTCCAGGTACACTCATCCTTCATAAGTCACATAATTAACCCGGCTGATTAAATAAAGATCAGAGCAATTGCTCACCCCTGGGCTTGCTTTGAGGGTTGCTGCTGCTGGGTCAGCCTGGAGATGGGGTCATGTTCCCAAGAGGTGTCTGTTTTTTGGTGTTTGTCATGCACTGTGCTTAGCTCATCTTCTGAGACTCCCTGATTGCTGCAAAAACTCCTGGAATAAGCCCCAAGCCCCCAAGGCTGCTCATATTCAGCAAAGCTTCCCCTTCATCCCCCTAGAAGCGGCTCTCCTCCACAGACACTGTGCTTGGAGCCACAGGGAAGGGGTATGGTGGTCCCCTGCCTTACTCGTCTCCCCAGTGCCCGGTGGTGCTTGACCCTGGCATTCTTGCACTGATGGAGCTCCTGGCAAGCCAGAAAAGGGGCTAAATTTAACAACAGGAATTTAACAGTGCTCCACTGGAATGGCTGTTTAAGGGAAGTACTGTCCCAGAAAACTCCTCTCTCAACCGTTGCCAAGAAGAAAGGAGAACTGGATGCCAGGAGCTGTATGTAGCAAACTCCTGCACAGCCTGAAGCCCTCCACCCAGCTGCCCCCCAGCCCCGGGCTGTGCCTGTCACTGGGGCAGAGCCCTGAGCCTGAGCTCAGCACTGCAGCTAGCACCCATGGGTGTCCCTGCACCACGCTCAGCTCGTACCTACACGCCCAGCCTAGGCCTTGGGGCTGGCTGGGGCACCAGGCAGTGACAGGAGAGGGTACAGACTCACAAGATGAAGGGATTGTCAGGGAAGATAGACCAGGATCCTGGCCAAAGGGGCAGAAAACTGTCAAGAGTTGAATGAGGAGATTATGGCACATCCAGGAATTGTTATTAATCTTTTACAGCTGGGGAAACTGCTGCAGGGAGCAGCAGGACTTGGCCACAGTCAACTGCAAGGCAGCAGCAAGTCAAAAAGAGAGCGCCTGTATCACTTGAGCAGCCACTTGGTATCATTTGCTGTGCTCCAGGCTGGCTGCATCCATTCACTGCCCCAAATCAGCACTTTTCTACAGGAAGGATGGCTCGAGGGGAGCTGGGGGCTCACTGTTGCTCTCAGCACAGTTCTGTGCCTGGTGCCACGCTGCTCAGCCTGCCCTCCTGCTCCCTAAACCTGGGTGACGGAAATGCCAGCTGCTGGCAAGAGGGAGCAGAAAGACCCTTTGTGGTGTGGAAGTGGGGGAAGCTGGGGGAGAACCAGCCTGCATTGAAAAGTCCCCACAGCAGCTGGGGGGGAGTGAAGGAGAAGGGCTGTCACCCCCACCCGTAGGCACCAAGTAGCATGAAGGGCAAGAACCTGAGTTTGTTTCATTTCCAGAAAATGAGAAAAGAAAGAGAGACAGCAGCAGAGAGAGAAACCCCGCTGAAAATCCCCGTGCTCTTGCTTTGACAGGGCTGAGCTGCACATTTCCTTTCTACAAGCTGCAGCGTGCCCCTGGCCAGCCGCTGAGCTGGGGCTGTCCCTGCGTGGCTGTGTGACACCAGCGTGGATGTCCCAGCCGGGGGAAGGGGAATTCAGACGTTGCTTCTTGCCGTACTAAAAGCAGCGACACGGTGGTGGCCTCATCAGAGCACCACGCAGCCAGGGCCACAAGGCCAGCGGTGTCAGGGCCACATCACGCTGAGCCACAGGAGTAGCAGTTTGGGACCCCCAGGACACTGCAGCCCTCCAGGTCCCCGTGCACCAGGGACACATTTCCTATCAACGGGGGACTCTGGCATCTGGCGGAGATGGGCAGGTATGGTGCCTCACTGGGGTGCCCAGAGGGGCATCGTGAGTCCATTTACAGAGCATTTTTGGGGGCTCTGCAAGTGGGGACTTGCCGGGGGGGGACATGGTTTTGCTGACTGTGTTATTGCCCAGTACTGCTCACCCTGACCATGCACGGCTGCTGGAAGCTCGTGTGGGCTGGCGAGCTGCAGCTCAGCCCAGTCATGCAGACTGGGAGGTGGTAGTGATGTCGGGAGGGAGGGGAAGCCTTCGAGACAGGGGACAGCTTTTCGCGCCTGTGTGTCCTGAGCTGAACAGGGCTGTTCACCAGGAAGGTGCCTTGCAGGGAGCCCCAAAGGCTGCAGGGTGCTGAGGTGCTAGTGCTGGGCTCTGCTGCTGTGCCCGCCGGCCCCTGTGCCTCCCTCCGTGCCAAGCTGGGCCTGACCCCGCTGCACAGGAGCCCCCACCCCTGCAGCCCCTCCAGCCCCACGTCCATCCAGCTCCTTTCCTGCTGCAGGAGGAAGCTGAGTGCCTGCCCCAGGCGATGGTGCATGTGTGCTGGGGGAAGATGGAGCCATGCTACAGATGCTCAGGCCAGCAGGTCCCCCTGGGACCATGTGTGCAGGGGACCCCCCAGCTGGCACTGGGCAGGAGACACAGGAGGAACCGTGCCTGGCCCCAGGGCACGGGGGCAGCCCTTTGTCCAGGGCAGGAAGACAAAACCAGGGATGTGTGCTGCACAGGGATGGGAGCCCACCACCTACCAGACATGCGGGAGACCCCAGTGCCACCTGACACCCGTGTTCAGATGGGATTTCCAAGATGAAACACTGCTGCCAGGCACCCATTTGCTCGCAGCTATCTCTCCCCATCGGCCATCCCGCCCCCGCCACCACATCTCCTTTTCCAAGAGGAAGCTGCTCTGCTCACTGCCAGCCCCGTCTAGAGCTGAGACGGAGACCCAGCAGAGACACGGTGCTCTTGGCCGCTCAGTAGTCGGTGTAGGATCTGTCTGACAGTCTCACTAACAGCTACATCTGATTACTGGGTCACCAAAGGGTGACCACGCTGCGCCCGCAGGAGCTGCCCTCTGATCTGCTGGCAACGGGATGACCAGGGCTCTCAGGGAGTGTGGTGGGGGCAGAGGGGAGCCCTGATCCTGAGCAATGCCATGGGGCTTCGGCTGCCCAGGAGAGAGAACGCAGCAGCTTTCCAGTTGTCAGAGTAAGTAAACCCTTGGGGAGTGCAGTCTCCTTCTCTAGGTGGTTATGAGAGCAAACGCCCTTTGGAGCATCCTGTCTGCAGGGTCCCCGGGGCTCAAGGGCTGGGCATGGGGCTGGACACCCACCTTCTCTCCTCCCACACCCCCATGGCACCCATCCCCCCTGCTGCACCTTGCCTGGCCCTCAGCACCTCAGAGAGCCGAGTCCCAAAGCCCAAACCTGCCAGAGGCAGCAGCCCCCAGCCCCCACGGGACGGCTGCGTGCAGGACATCACGGCTCGCTCCCCAGGGAAGCGCTGTCCCCCCACTTTGGTTTGGGAGCGCACACACGGCTCCAGCCGGCTCCCCCTCATCAGGGCAGCGCAGGAAACACGCGGTGCTGCGGCGGCTCCCGGCACGTCCACGCCGGCCTGCGCAGGGGAAGGAGACGCTGGGCTGTTTCCGAGTGGGATGTCCTGGCCACTGTGGCAGAGAGCTGCCGTGGGTTCCCAGAATATCATCTGTTCCCCCACCCGGCCCGTATCCCTGTGCTCCTGCTCCCACTCATGCACTGGTTTCCGTTAACCCCGCAGGAGGGTCAAGCCCACTCATCTGTCACAATCTCTTCAGGTTTTTTTTTGTTTTTTTTTTTTTTTGTTTTTTTTTTTTTTTTTTGGCGTGTTTTGTCTCAGGTTTTCCAGCGTTGCTACTCCGTGGGCAGCCGTGTCCCCAGGTGGGAAGCAGACGGCTTTTATTCTACAGACGTTCAAGTGAGTAATGACTCAGAAATTGGAGGGATCGTGGTTTCAGGGGAGAGAATAAAATGTGTTCCTGCCAGGCAGCGTGCCCGGGCTGGCCCAGCCGGCTCCGGGGCAGGCGGGGGCAGAGCTGGGTACGCTGGGCGCGCCCCCCACGCGAGTCCCCCATTCCCCCGTGACCAGAGACGGGGCGAGCCGTCCTGGCCCACGCGTCACGGTGCTGAGCTGCCCGGGAAGGTTGGGTTTGTTTTAAGCAAATGGCGGAAGGTGGAGTGTCCGCGGAGCCGCGGCTCGCAGCTGAGCGAGAGCCACCCGTGTCCGCGGGAGCAAACGGCCACGGGCTTTAGGAAACTTTTAAGTTACTCCTGGAGCGCCCTCAGTCCCTCCCCCGGGTGCCACAGACCCTCTCGTGTTGCGCCGATGCCTGAGCCGGCCCTCCCGGGCCCCACCCGCGGCAGAGCCACGCACGACGCGGGGGCTAGGGGGACGGGACACACACCCCCGCGGAGCCACGGCTGGGCGGGCGACGCTCTCGCAGTCGCGGTGGAAACAACCCTATAGCGGGGCGCGTGGGCGGGCACGCGTGGGCAGGCGCCCGCCTTCCGTCTATGACGCGCCCGGGGGGGGGGCGGCCGCGCGCTTGCGCGGGAGCGGGCGGGGGTCACGTGGCCGTGGGGGCCCGGTTGGCGGCGGCGCGTGGAGCCATGGCGGTTCCCAGCGGAGGTGGGACGGGACGGGACGGGACGGGACGGGACGGGACGGGACGGCCTGGCGTGGGGGGGGGGGGGGTCCTCCCGCTGCTCTGCCGCGGGCGGCCGGGTCCCCGGCCCCCCCAGCTCGCCCCCCCCCCCCCCCCCGGCGGAGGGCGGGGCCCGTGCTCGGCGCGGCGCCGTTTCCACGGGCAACAGGCGGCGGCCGGTACCGGGGCCTGGCACCGCCCGAGGGGCCGAGCCGCCGCAGGGCGCTCCGGGAGCGGCTCCCGGGACGGGGCTGCTCGGCCCGCGCCCCTTCCTCGGGGGCATGACCTGCGGGAGCACCGAGGCGGGGGGGGGGGGGGGTCCCGGGGGCGGGTGTGGGGCCTGGGGCGTCCCGGGGGAGCGCCAGGCCCCGTGGGCTGTGTGACTGGGCAGGGGGCCGTGGGACAGCAGTCCTGGCACTGAGCCTCTCCAGGTGCCTGCAGGTGTGAAGGAGGACTCATTCAACGTGCTGGACCTGGCCGAGTACACCAAGAACCGTCCCTGGTGGCGCAAGGTCTTCGCCCCCAGCTCGGGGTCGAGCGCTGAGAAATATAACGTGGCCACGCAGCTGGTGATCGGAGGGGTCACAGGATGGTAAGGTGGGCGGGGGGTGCCGGGGCTGCTTGGGGCGGGTGGGATGCCTGCGGCCACTAGCCAGGCTTTTGGGACCGCACTGACGGGTGCAGGTGGTCAGCTGGCAGCCTTTCAGAAAAGGCGGGTGTCCAGCTTGCTCAGCCCGCTGTGCCCTGGCATGGTCTGCTGAACTGTGGGAGGTCCTAAAAGCTGTCTGCAACGTGGAGCTGAAGACCTGAGGTTATCTCCTAGGGGAGAAAAATGACATCAGGCTTTAATTTTTGAGGTGAGATAATTCTCTGAATTCTGACGTAAATCGGTGGTGTTGAATTTATACCGTCTTCCCTGGAGGTGGATGTGCTTCAGGCATCTGCACACAAACCTCCTGCTGAGGTGGGAGGTGGCTTATTGCACCTGTGGGCATGGCTCCTCGGGTTTCACGTTGCTCGTAGCAAGTGCTGGAGCTGGTGGCTTGTGGCTGTTTGCAACTTCATTCCTGCAGCAGCGTTGTTTGTGTTGAAAACTTGGTGTGATCACACTCTTTTGCTTCTTGCCCTGCTTGTCTTCTTCATCTGGCACAGGGGTAACCATTTCAAAACGTATGACAGATCTTCATTTTCTGATAAAAATATGAGCTGGCCACCTCTTGTATCTTCACTAAGTGCATGTATTCAGAAATGGGCTACAGCAGGTTGCTGTGTTGTTTTGCAATGTTGATAAGGAAACTGTTCAAAGTAAAATCTGTTTTGGATGATACAAAACACCAGCCCTTTGCTGCATGACTGAGTAATGGGATGGTGCTTGCTTGAGTTTTGGTCGCTGCAGTGATGTCTTTCCTGTTGAAAGTGTGTAACCCAGTTTGGAGACCAGTATAACTTTAGACCACTGCTGTCTGCTTGTTTCAGCATTTTTCTCTTCTGAGTAATGAAAAGAAAAAGTAAGCAGTTGTTTGGGCAACAAAGAAACTTGCCTTGTGATTTGCTCCCCATACTCTATCATCGAGCATCAGCAGATGTGCTGCCTAATTTCCCTTCAGAGATTATACCAGTTTAAAAGAAAAAAAAAAGAAAGGCAGCTAAAATCATGTGTTGGTTTTTGTGAAATCACGTGTTTCCAGATACTCTCCTGGGAGAAGGTTGATGTTGAAGAGATAAGAATCAAAACTGCGAAAGGCTGAAATGTAATAGTGAGAAATAAAAAGCTATAAAGCATCGCTTTTGGCTGGGCGCAAATCCTTTCTTTTTCTCTCTGGTTGCACATGGGTTTCTTCTGATGTGTGTCAGGCTGTTTCCGAGTCTTGGGTAGTTACTGCCAAAGGCAGCCTTGCCGTGGGAAGCATGCATGTTTGTGTTTGGTATCTCATTCCCCTGACTGGATCCTGGTTGATTTGTAGGTGTACTGGATTCATCTTCCAGAAAGTTGGAAAGCTGGCAGCGACAGCAGTAGGAGGTGGTTTTTTCCTACTTCAGGTGTGTATGAACGGTGAGCCAGGCTTTCCAAGAACTGTGCTGGTGGGGACGAAGGGCTCTCTAGTGATCGTTACCTGTTGGAGTGTGTGGGGCCAGTTCCTTGCTCTGCCAGGAGCTCTGTGTGGCCATCGTGTCAAGGGTGTGTGTTACCCAGGGTACATAAGTGCAGCAGCAAGTCAGGATCAGTGCATGTAAACTTAAGGATTGCCAAAAGTTGCTGTCTGCTTAGGGCCTGCTAAGGGAGGCCAGGCCAAAGGCACACAGGGGCTGTTGCTGCCGGGGCACCTGAGTGAAGCAGGAGGCAGCCTTCAGCTGCAGCAAATCGTGCTGCTGCTGCAGGACTGTCTGGTCACAACTGGCTACTGTACTTGGTCCTACGCCTGTGGAGATGGTGTCCCTGGAGGAACAGCCCTGGATGTTGAGAGGGATTTGTCCAATATGCAGCCTGGCGACTTGAGGAGTCAGGCCAGCACAGATGAGGTTTTCTGTAAGGCATTGGGGAAGAGGAGAGAAACAGATTTCTCTCTGTCCTCAAGTGTTTCTCCTAGTTTCCAAGAACCCTGGCAGTGAGGGGAGCTGCTCGGTTGTGGACATCTAGCTTGTACATCCTGCATGAGGCAGAACAGCTCTCAGGCCTCCCTCAGCAGCCTTGTTTGCTTCTCAGGCGTGGTCTCACATGTGACTCATTCTCCCCGCTTTTCTGGCTCTGCTTTTTCTGCTGAAAGCCAAAAGCATGCTCTGAGCAGGGAGAGTTTCACTGCTGAATCATCCTGACCAGATAAAATATTTAGAGAGGAACAGGCTATTAATATCTGTGTCCACCCACAGCAGCAGGAGTGCTGCAGTAAGTCCTAACGATATATGTGGCAGTTGTGAGGGGGAGGTGATGCCAGCTACATTAGGGAATAGAGGCTGGAACAGGCTAAGATGCAATGTGTGCCCTGCTCTTAGGGGATTACTGTGGGAGACAGATGTTGCAGGGCAACAACTACAGGGGGGGCCCTTTGCCCAATTTTTAAGCTAGTATAGTCATCCTCTCAGGCCACTGGATGAGTGTGTGGGAGGTGGCTGTGGTCAGGGAAGGTGGGTGAACAAGGGGGTCTGTTTAGCAATGGTCACGCAGGACTTCAGAAACTTTCTTTCCACCCCTTGACACTCTAGATTGCAAACCACACTGGATACATCAAAGTGGACTGGAAGTTAGTAGAACGGGACGTGAACAAAGCCAAGCAGCAGCTGAAATTTCATAGCAGTGGTAACAAAATGCCTCCAGAAGTGAAAAGCAGAGTGGATGAGGTGAGAAAACTCTATCAGGGTGTGTGCAGGTGCTTAGCTGAAGGGACAGCAGAAAATGGAATTAAGTCTTGGGCTCTTATAGATCTTCCATTGTAAAAATACAAGAAGGGAATGCTTGCATGACAGCAAAACTGGAGAGATGGCAAAGGCTGTGGATGTTGTCTACCTAGACTTTAGTAAAGCCTTTGACACCGTTTCCCACAGCATTCTCCTAGAGAAACTGCTCATGGCTTGGACAGGTGTACTCTTTTCTGGGTAAAAAAACTGGCTGGGTGGTCGGGCCCAGAGACCTGTGGTGAATGGATTTAAATCCAGTTGGTGGCCGGTCACAAGTGGTGCTCCCCAGGGCTCAGTATTGGGGCCAGTTCTATTTAATACCTTTATTGATGATCTGGACAGGGGGATTGATGCACCCTCAGTAAGTTTGCAGATGACACCAAGTTGTGTGGGAGTGTTGACCAGCTGGAGGGCAGGAAGGCTCCACAGAGGGATCTGGACAGGCGGGATCGATGGGCTGAGGTCAGTTGTATGAGGTTCAACAAGGCTCAGTGCTGGGTCCTGCACTTGGGTCACAGCAACCCCACCCAACGCTACAGGCTGGGGGGGGGCAGTGGCTGTAAAGCTGCCTGGTGGAAAAGGCCCTGGGGGTGCTGGTCGGCAGCCGGCTGAATATGAACCGGCAGCGTGTCCAGGTGGCCAAGAAGGCCAACGGCATCCTGGCTTGTGTCAGAAATAGTGTGGCCAGCAGGACCAGGGAGTACCCCCCATACTCAGCACTGGTGAGGCCGCACCTCGGATCCTGTGTTCAGTTTTGGGCCCCTCACTACGAGAAAGACACTGAGGTGCTGGAGTGTGTCCAGAGAAGGGCACTGGAGCTGGTGAAGGGCCCAGAGCACAAGTCTTATGATTAGAAGCTGAGGGAACTGGGGTTGTTTAGCCTGGAGAAAAGGAGACTGAGGGGAGACCTTGTCACTCTCTACAACTACCTGAAAGGAGGCTGTAGCAAGGTGAGTGTCAGTCTCTTCTCCCAAGTAACAAGCGATAGGACAAGAGGAGATGATCTCAGGTTGAGACAGGGGAGGTTTAGATTGGATATTGGGAAAAATTTCTTCACTGAAAGGGTTGTCAAGCACTGGAACAGGCTGTCCAGGAAAGGGGTTGAGACACCATCCCTGAAGGTATTTAAAAGATATGTAGAATTGTTGCTTAGGGATGTGGTTTAGTGGCGGACTTGGCAGTGCTAGTTTAACAGTTGGACTTGATGATTTTAAGGTCTTTTCCAACCTAAATGATTCTATGATTCTATCTGTGCATATTTGAGACAGCCAGGGTGGCTTCTAGGCATGACCCCAGCTTGCCATGTGTTGCTGTAAATTCCTTGGGATTGGGAGAAAACATGTTGGGGTTGTGGGGAGAAGTATCTCCTAAGCAAATCTGGCAGCGGAGTGACCTAGTTACCCTGCACTCTGCTGCACCCTGCTCTGGCACGTGCAGTCAGCAGTCCCTTCTGTCAGCCTATGCTGGTTGTGAGAGAGCTCTAGAACTGCGGCTCTTGGAGGATCCAGGCTGCACTGGGACTGGACCAGTTCAGGATCTGTGTACATGGTGGGGAGGTGATTAGGTAGGATACTTTCCCACACCCGAGCAGTGGCCTCTCTCTGAGCGTCACTCACCTTGGAGAATGAGGAATGTCTTCTTATGGGGAGGGTGAGTGAGTGATCTGCTGTTGTTGAACACTGTTGGCTCTTCTCTCCCCTGCTTAGGTGATCATATTTCTGAAGAAGAATGTTATCCTGACTGGAGGGTTTGCTGGAGGATTCCTGCTCGGAATGGCATCCTAGAAACTGCGCTCCACTCTTCCTTCATGCCCAGTCTCCCCTGCCTTCCTCTACTGCTGTTCTCTCTCACTTAGAAGTCAATGGATGTTGCTGATGGGCTCAGTCCCTTCTGCTCACAGGTTTCAGCCCTTATTTCTTATAGTGCTGCTTCTGATTGCCGACTTTTTTCTCTGTCTGGGCTGTTAGGGTGCTGGGATCGGTCTGAAAGCTTATGACTCCAAGTGTATCATTATGACTCCTTTCCCCACCAAATATGCCCAGTCCCAAATTTTCTGATGAGTTGCAGCCTCATAAACATGTAGTGGCAGAGAAATCTCTTAAATGCACTTCTTCCCAAGTGCTCAGGGCTGCTACGTGTATGTTTGTCTGCCAGTATATGTGTACAACAGCTGTCAGCTGTTCACCATTATTTAGCTTGTGGTTCTTCTGACCTGGTACCTGGAAAGCCCGTGCTTCCCTCTGCACAGAGATGGTGTGTGCAATCTAAAATGTGCTTGGCTGTTCTGGGGTGGATGCAAAAGTGTCGGGGGACAGCCTGGTCTGTGTCCAGGGCAGGTGGATAAAGGAGTATGTTCATGCTGTATGTGGTGCTGGGGGTTCTCCTGCCCTCCCCCTGGCATTGCACTGCACGTAGATGGCCATTTGGCTTCTCCTCTGCTGCTATTTATATCCCTTACTGGAATTGCAGCGCTGGCACTGCTGGTGGAAGCTGAGCACTGTGGGTGACTCCCCGGGCCCTTTCCTCATCATGTGTTCTGAAAGTCACCAAGCTTCCTGCACTGTAGAGCGCCTTTCTTGCTTGCTAGCTGACTGTTCAGCCTGTGTGACGTGCTGAGTGCCTTCCTGTGGTGTGCAGCCTCCCGGCCCAACCCGCCGGGGTCGGGCGAGCTGGTGCAGGCGGCGTGCGGTTCGGCTGTGCTGCTTACTGTAAATCACCTTGGGCCTCAGACTGGTGTTTCTAGGTCAACCATGACCTCCTCTGGCCGCTTTGCTGGTGGTGATGGAGCTGTAACCATGTGGGACAGGATTGTAGACAGGAAATGCATCCTTGGTTAGGGTACATTGTGCTGGTCCGGAGTCCCTGTTGCCAGCTCTACTGGAGTGGGAGGAGGGGGGTAGGATGTGAAATCTGGAATGCAGTCCTTTACCTGCCTTTGCAGAGCACAAACTCTATCTCCTCAGTCTCTGCAAGCAACTGAAATGAAAGAACTGTTGGGAAAACCAGGTTGGGCTCTTACGGGTGTGGCTCATTTCCTTTCTGCCTTGGTTTCTTTACATTCATCATTTCCACAAAAAAAAAGTTGCTTGCTTAATTCCATCAGCTGCAGCCCTTCTCCTGCAGGTGTGAAGCAGCCCAGATGCAGAGCTCAGCTGTTTTTGGACAGTCTGTCCCAGTGCAACTGTGTGCAAAGCAGAACTCTAACCTACAAGAGAAAATGACAACAACAACAAAAAATCCCTTAGAGGTGTTCTGCATTGGTTGTACTGGGCTGACATTACTGCTTTCCGGAATGAGGGGACTTGCATGACAGTGTGGTGATGTCTTCCAGCAGGTACCTGTAGGAGTTCTTGCCAAGAATTTTTTTTTTTTTTTATGTGAAAGTCAGCCCCATCCTTCAATGGGAAACGTACTCGGGAATGGTGATGCACATGGGTGATCAGGGTGCAGCACTTGGCTCAGCATCTGCACCCCATCTCCAGGTCTGTGTAGTGCCTTTCTGACCTCCGCTGCGGCTCTCAGTATGGCTGGAAACAGGGATCTTCCCCTGAGAGCTGCTGGAAGAGCTGGAACGGTGGATTCTTCCACCAGAGGTTTTGGGATGAGCACTTGCAGCTGTTAATTTTGTTTCAGTCCTGTTGATTGAAAGGTCAATGTAGCAACACATTGATTTAGCTGAAGTTTTCTCACCTTCTGGATCTGAAAAGAGGCTGCAGGTGATTGGGAAACAGAAGTTGGTACCTTTGCTCCTGTCCTGCTGTACATGGCCAAAGAGAATGAAGGAGCAGCAGGGCCCACATCCTTTTAATTATGGTCTTCCTAAAAGTCATCCAGGACTACAGGAGTGATGTGATACAGCAAATAAGTCTTCAGTAGATTCATGTTTGGGAGTGGAGTGGCTGATGATGGTGGTAGTTTTGGGGCTTTTTTTGTTTGGTTGTTTTTAAATTTTGTTTTGGATTTTTTTTTTTTTTTCATAGGAACCCTGCAGGGCTGAACATGCAGATATTGATACATTTCTATTGCAGGGTATCTCTTGTTCCTGTAGGAAAACAGTGTTGCTGCCCCTCTGCCTGGTGTGCTGCTCAATACCACTTCTTCTGGGATATACTAGTCTCCACAAAGCTCTCTCCAACGATAAAGCTCAAAGTGTAAATCATTAACAGACCGTAGGGATGTTTTTCAGGCTCAAATAAGTCACTGTTTCTTCCCAGTCCCAAGGAAGGGTGTCCTGGGTTCTGCTCCACAGGGTGCTGACTTGCTGCTGTGGAGAGAAATGGCCCAGAGAGGGAGCTAAAACACCTCAATTGCTGCTGGAAAGGGAAACAAGGGACAAATTCATGTTGAGTTGGATGTGAATGCAGGCAGGGAATGGACACGGACATCAAGATCTGGCAAATCTTTCTGCTCTGCCTGGTGTCGGGCTCCTGGCTGGCACCGTGTGGTGCTGTGGGCCCACACTGGAAGCTTTGATGCTGAATCTGCCTCTGTGGGGATGCACGTTCATTGTTGCAGGTGCCAAGATGAGGTGTTCCCCCGTCTGCCCACCCCTGCTCCTTTTGGTCTTGTTTCAACAACTTCTGGCGTTTCTTCCAGTATGAGAAGGTTTAAAACACACTAGGCTTTTAAAGTGTTTTTATATATGATATGTAAATGCTTGTTGAAGTGATTTTATTAAACAGTTTTGCTCTAATAGCTTCTGTGTGTGAGGTCTGTTGACTTTTTCGGAACCAGCATGGTTTTGTCTTACCCTGCATGTTGCATTTGACTCACAGGAGCCAGTCTGGTCGCATGAGGCCACCAGCCTTCCCTCTGCTCTGCAGGTAACCATGGGCTGCCTTAATAAATCCCTCTCCTTGATGATCCTGCCACCCGTCACCCATGTTCCCAATAGGTGGGATGCCTCTGGGGTAGGAGGTGATTCTGCTGTCAGCCTGGCTTCAGAGCCTCCCTGCTGAGCAAGTTTGCTCTGCCCGAGTAGAAATGGGCATGGAGATGGGGCTTTTCTTTTTAATAGGTGCAACAGAAATGTAAATATTTTTTTTTTTTATCTGTTAGAGATTTTCCACTGTTTCTGCCCAGATAGGAAAAAAGGGACAAATGAGCTACTCATCAAGTGGTTGAGCCGCTTCACAACATTGTCATCACTTTTCCCTACTTCTCAAGAATACTAAACCCCCTGTTTTGTCTTAAGGTGTTTTTTTTTTTTGGGGGGGGGGGGGGGGGGCGGGGAGATAAAGAGGGTGGGAGGGAAAGGCTGGCCCTGAATTATTCTGATCTTCAGCCCCAGTTATAAAAATGTCAAGCAGCTTCTATTTAAACATGATGATATTACATGTAGCTCTGGACTGTGAATGGCAGCCAAGCTGCCCGGCTTGCAGCTATGTCGTATTCTCAACAACCAACCAAACTGAGACTCCAATTTGTTCCAGTCGTTTATTTTGTGTCATGGTATTTCAGAGCAGTGAATACAGATGGTTTGCTCTTCTAGGCTTCAATACACTCAACTATTGTGCCTAGGCTACAGTGGTCTGTTTATAGAAGCTGTATTTCATAAGTTGTACTTGATCACAGCACAGAAGTCCTTTACGGCTAGATCTAATGACGGAGTTAGGGGCCTAGTGGGTTCAAAGTCTGATACTCGGGTGCCAAGGCCCTGTAATGGACTTGGCACCCACTGAGGTGCCTGGACTGCTGCTACAGGGGACAGAGACGTAGGAAGCTCTGAAGGGTGATGCAGGAACCTGTCTACTGAGCTCTTCTTACAGGTCACAGGGAATTCTGCTGCATGGGTGAGAGCTTCTGAAAAGCCATCTCTGGGGTCCAGACACAGCCGGCTTGTGAGTGAGTCTGGAATGCTGTGTTGAAAGCAAGTGCCTACAACTGCTTGTTCAGTAAGCAGCACCTAAATCAGTTCTTGGATCTAGCCCAGGGCTTTGTGACAGGCCTCTGGGTACCAGCAGGTTGAACTACGCTGGGTTCATAACATATTGCTTAAAGGTCTTCAATTATACATAAATTTATAAATTTTATATCAACAGTCAGATCGTTCAAATTAATATTGCTTTTTAAAAAACAAAACTATTCCTGTAGCAATCCCTGAAACAATGTTCCTGTAACATCTTTGTCATGCAAATAGCAGCGTGTAGGCAATTCAAATATAAAGTAACCAAAATTCTGTCCAGTGGGAAAGTGAGGCACTTAGGCAAAGTGACTTGTAGTCACTCGTGATCTATGCAAGACCTAGGAACAATCCCCAGACCTGATTCCCATTCTTGAGCTTGAACCACTGGACAGGCAAATGTTGTCTGGAACATGATGACCTTTGCTGTGTCAAGATGGGCTTGTTTCATGTGTCATGCTTAAACTCACTCACTCTTCTGAGCTAATTTCCCGTACCTCTCACTCCAGAAGCCAGAATAACTCGGTTCCAGTTCTCCATTTTGAGAGCAAGGATGGATTAGAGTAAGGTAAGCATTCTAAAAACATCAAGTTGACTTTTCACAGACACAGGTGCAATGCAAAGACAATGTAGATGATGTTTTGGTACAGAAAATAAAGTCTGTTAACCAGGCCATCTATTGGTACTGCGTTATACTTTTTGGTGTGCCGGACGGTGTGTTCTAGGAGCAATCTGGCTTTTCTGAAAGTCTAAAGAAGGCTTGAAAAAACACACACAAGCTCTGCAGGTGAGTCCGTGCTCCGGCACCTGCTGGAGCTGCATTGTGTTACTGAGGTGGTGGGGGAATTCCTTCTGAAGTTGCCTTAAACTTTTCTCTCTCCCTTTCTTCTTTCTCAAACCCTGAACAACAGATGGATCTGCCCTTGGGGTACCGGGCGCAGCACTTCCTCATCTCCTGAAGCACAGTTTCACACTTAGACTCCATGTAGTTGTTCACTGGAAAATAAGAAGGAGACACTGAGTATGCAGAGGGGAACAGGTTTTGCCCCCAGAGGGGACACGTCTAGCCCTTCCCTTCAGCTGCTGGGCAGCCTGTTTCTCTGAAAACCAAGACCTGCTTACAAGCACTGCATCACTTTCTCTGCTCTACAAAAATCTCTCTTTAGTTTCAGCTATTTAAAGCCATGCAAAAGCAGCCTTGCTGTTGTGGATGGGAACATCTTCAGTCCCCCATTTTTGTAGCTGTCACATCTCCCTACAGTAAGAATGAGGTTTCTCTTATTGCTGCCCTTCAACCCTTCCTTTCTTTAGCCTGTGTGCTTTTAAGCTGGCTCTTGTCATTCATTGTCCTCAACCCAGCTACCATGTCACTATAAGGTTCACAGCTGAGTGAAACTGTAAGAGAATCCAAAGAGGACTTGGTATAAGCAGGGGCATGTGCGTCCTTCAGCACTGCAGCATCTGTAAAAAGAAGGGGCGAGGAACATGCCTGCCCCCCCTCCTTCTGGAGGCTGTTGTGGCCAGGCTGTGGCTTTGCAGCGTAAGGGAAGCAGGCAGCACACGAGCAGGAATGCTTAGCCAGATGCCAGCGGCTGGATGCAACTGCACAGAGCCAGTGACATGACCACCTTCCACTGAAAGGTGCCAGCTCTAGCTCAGGAGGTCCCTTAACCCCACGGCTGTTACTTGACCTCCACTCGCTTTCCTTCCTAGGTTTCTCCTCTTTGACACTCCTCTTGTCCCAGAGCTGGGACACGGGGCTAAATGAGCTCCTAGTCTGGCCTGGGATGGCTGGGCTCACGCCTTTGTGCACGGCACAGCTACGCCCACCTCTGTACTTTCTCCCTATTGCCTTTGTTTCAGGCTTGGAGAGATTTCACTGCACTGGCAGGTTCAGGCACTGCAGGACACAGATGATTTGTCCAGCATCCTTTCAGCCCTAGTGCTTTGCTGGCTGCCACTGTCGGCTGAGGTGGCAAAGCCCACAGTGCTTTGCAGGGCTGGCCACCTGGCTCTTGGAGAGAAGCCCTGGGGGTATGTGAGCAGACTGAGTCTGTGGCTTGAATTAATAACTACCTGTGTGTCTGCATAGAAGCATGGGGGGTGTGCAGAGCTACCCGCTCAGTCTTGGATGAGCTACGCAAAAACTACACAGCTGCACTCACTCCCCCCACCTGCCACTGATTCTTAAGAGACTAAAAGAAGCAACAGCAACCCAATGCTGAACAAACGCAGCACCCACTGGATAGCCCAGAAGGCAGCAGTGAACGCCTCCCAGTTAACGAGCAAGCCAGCCCGCTCTGATCACTGGACTAAGAATTCCCTAGCTGGGTTGGTGTGTGACCTGTAACACAAGCACGGAGATCATCCCTGAGGAAAAAAGGTTGTGTGATGTTACTGCTTTGTGCAAACTGGCAGCCTAGGAGGCAGGGCAGGCCCTTGGAGAGGACAGCTAATCTCTCTGCCATAACCTGCCAATGAGTGCTCCAAGGCTCACCTCACTGTTTCTTTGCCTGTGCAGGTTTGTTTCTAAAACTATGGCTAGATACAGGCTGCTACATACACCCTGCTATCTGTCAGGGATGCATTTCTGAAAAGCACAACGGTTAGTCATATAATGGTCAGCAAAACACAAGAGATTTACAGTGAGCATTTAGTCTCACAGAGGAAGCAGGCAAGCTCTTTTGCAACAATGATCCACTCCAAAACCAGCTTTTGAAAAGCCAGCATCTCCCAAAGGTCCTGCTTCTGTCCTCCATCCTCCACACTGTGTATGCTGTCTCTGCATATTTGTCAGTTAAGGCTCCATATACATCCTCTACTGCATTAATTCTTACAGGGAAAATTTGCTTTGCCGTCTGTCAACTCAGCTGCTTCATCTGTGCAACTCAGACAACTCCACAGCATGATAATACATGAACAACAACAGCACTCCAAAATGATAGCTAGAGAAGCAGTGGACAGTGGAGCGTGCATGTAGCAAAAAGTTTCTTTGCTAACACAGATCTAATCTGTACACAAACCTACACAGGTAAAACACTTGAAGTAACTTCCATGAATGTTATAAAAAGAACATTATCACAGATGGGACCAAAACAGGGTCAAACATTCGCTTTTAAGTGCAATCACTATGAGGAGAGAAGGCAGCCCTTCATGGGAGAATGCTCTCAAGACAGTAAAAGGTAATATATAGACAAATGTCAGGGCTGTGTAGAGGGGGTTGTTTGAGCCCTTGCTCTGAGCTGAACATGGCTTCCAAAAAACAATCTTGGGAAAGACAGACATCTACCAATAACCAGCTGTTGTTTCTCCCTACTTTTTCCCAGATGCTTTTCCTCCTGTGCTCCTCCCCAATCCCCGGGGTTTGTGTTACCTGCACAGATTGCAATCACCGTTTGCTGCAGCCTGCAAAGCCATCCCTCTACTTCCCCAGCAGGACCCCTTCCTCCCTCCCTGCTATATTTTAGCTAACCTGCTCGTAGTCTGCAAAGACATTAAAGGCAGGAAGGGTTGCTGTGGAACCAGCCTGGCTAATTTTAGCTGTGGTGTTGCTACCCTCCTGCTTTGTCGTCCCTGGGATAACACCACGAGCTATTCTCACGTGAAGCTCAGAGCATCCTGGCTAAGGGCTCCACCAGGTGAGTTAGGAAGAACTCTTTCCCATATGACTGAGCTGCCTTGGCACAGAGGAATGTTTTCTCTTATTCATTTCATAAGGCAAATCCTTTTCCAAGCAACCAAAATTTTTAAAAAATATTGTCCCCTGCAAGTAACAAGCCTGCTCTCCCCAACTCAGGCTCCCAAAACACATCACATCATCTACCTCACCCCTACAAATATTTAGCTAAGCTAATACAAAACAGCTTTTAATGGTCTCCAGAGAGATACCATCTCATACCTTGAGGATAGTTCACATATATTTAATCCGTTCATGACATTTATCTGTCTGACCTGCTCTTAAAATACCCCTGAAGCTAGAAGCTCTGCAGTCTTCTCATACAATCCACCCACTACCTCGCTACCCACTCCATAAGAGAGCTTATTATAATGTCTAGCTCTTCCCACCTACAGCTGAGTTCCAAGACTACATATGGGATCTCACTACCAGCATGGAGAACACTCTGAAATAAGCACATTACTGTTACAAATGCTCTGTTTTATACTAACGGTGTCTCATTATTTAAAATCAAGCACAAGGGAATTCTGTTGAAACCAGACATGATAATTTTGTTCACTTTGCAACCAGGTGATGCTAATGTGCTTGCTTGCTTTCTTCTCAAGGTGAAAGGAGAACAGGGTTAAAAGAATTAATTTCCACCAAAAATCAAGACACCAAAAAGACAAAATGACACCTGGTACCTTGCAAGCATTTCTGTATTTCACAGGCTTGTTTCTGGCAGGGATCCTTCTGGGACATGTTCAGAGAACTAAAATGATAGGAAAATGTTACTGTAGAAACAATGTGTTTTTCAGGGGGTGGGGAGGGGCAAGACACTGTCTTAAAGCCAAGGCTTTAAAGAGCTCCCAATTTCCCTCTCTGTCACAGACAGTTCTAAAAACATCTATTGCTGCCTGCAGATGCCTGCCAACATACACAAGAATTCTCTGTGTCTGGCTAAAGGATGATAATGTGAACAATGAATACCGGAAGTTTTATGTTGCTAGGCTTAAAAGGCCTTTTTTTTTTTTTCCCCTGGTCAAAATGTGTCTTTTTCCACTTGGATGCACAAAGATTCCAGCAACGATTCAAATTAACATGGCTGACTAATTTTTAACAGTTCTGTACCTCTAGAGCTTATACTAAAATACGTATTTGTGTAAAAGCCCTCTCTGTGAGCTCTACACAACCAAGGATTTGGTGTCAGCAATTGCAGCTGGAAGAGGCATTTAAAAAAACAACGAAACAAATCAACTTAGTTGTGTATGTCCTATAAAGACAACAAGGAGGCCTTTTTTTGTTACTGTTCCAGGAGAAAGTCTCTTGGAAATCTGGGCTGCCACCCTGCCAAAAAAAAATAGACTGGAGGAGAGCTCCATCTTGTTCAAATCCCTAGAAAGTGGGATTTCAATTTGACTTTCTGCAGCTGTGACACCTATAACTGTGACACCTGTAACTGTGATCTTCCACGAGAGAGCGAAAGACAAGCAAAAACTGGTGGTACTAGTAGTTGGATGGGAGACCTCTATAGGAAAGCACCGCTGTTACTGAAAGCGGTGGTGGGACTTCAGCTCCCTCTGAGCCACCATTCAGCTCCTGCCTCTGCCTGGAGCTAGGGAGGTGCTGCCTTTCACATATTTGTTAACTCACCAGCCCACAGTACTTTTCAATATCACTAGGGCATTATTTCCAGCATCCTGGCCAAACTCCACTTGGGGCAATTACATTCTGCCTACCTAGAACTCCCCCTGATGTTTCACTTGGACACAATACTCCTCTTCACTGCCTGTCCTAAACTCTTGTGTCATGTTGCTGTGTGTTGTTTAACTGCTTCCACCTCAGAGGTGGCTGCATTTCAGTGGAGAGAGAATCATTTATTGTACAAAATATACAATGACATCTTCCTAGAGCCACTGCTCCTGAAAGACAAAAATTCATATTAAAGAATGACTGGGAATAAACAGAGCACAGTACAAAGCAGGGGTAATGTCTACACATACCAGATTAATCACCAGGCACGAGTTTAAGCAGCAGTTCTTCAACACCACCAAGCTGTAAGCGACAAGGAAAAGTTCAATACGTCTACAGTTACTGTGGCTGAGCTAATGGACTTCAACAAAATAACAGTCCTTTGCCGTCCGTCAAGGATCTCAAATGACTTCACAAACAGGCATGACTATGGTCTATTGTTGCCACCATCCTTACCATGAGATGGTGCTCTATCTCCCAAACGCGAGAGTTACTATCCCTGTACTGCTCACCCTGGGACAGCTGCCACATATGAGGCAGCCGGGATGGGGGGAGCTGGCTGGGTCGCAGCGCCTCACCCAGGGGAACCTGAACTCTTTGGATCCGAGCCCTCAGCATACCTTCCTCCTGGGGGAAAGTAACAAAAAGAGCAGGCAGTTACTGGCAATGCAGTAGAGGCACCTGCAACAGCAAAGCTACAATCACTGGGAAGCTCAAAGGACACTTGCCTCTTCCGCAGCCACAAGCCACGTTTTGCGGTGCTCATCGCAGTAAACACCTACGCGTCGCACCCACAGTCGGACAGGAGGAGCCCCAGCGTGCCCTCCTTCTGCCATTCCCTCAGTCACTTCAGGATGCTCCCGTTAGGTGGACGGCATCAACCCGCAGGATGCACGCATGGTCTCTTTAGCTCTGAATACATTCACGGAGAAAGCTCTCAGACCTGAAAGGCACCTCTGGGTGGCGTCTGACTTATTGTATGAGATGCTATGTGCTGAAATGTCCCTAAAAGTCAGCTTGGGAAACTAAGGTGGTGCCTAAGTGAACAGAAATTTCATGACAAGTTGTACACTGGGACATGCGTGCTGTATGGTGTTTGTAAGGCATTCTGGGGCAAAAGGTGCTATTGGTACAAAGTTAAACCCTGTGAATATTGGCTTTACTTATTCCACTAACAGTCCTATTAACAGTCTTTGTGCAAAATAGGGAAAAAAAAAAGGAAAAAGAAAGAAGTGATTTACACAGGAGTTCCGTGGCTAATGATGGTCTAAATCCCAAAACCAAAACTTGTGACAAGAGGTGAAATTAGCTTAACGAGAACGAAGATCACTCTGGAGACAATGCATGACACTCCGTATGCACGACTCTCATATTTGGAACTTGCAGAGCTGTCATTGTGAAGGGTCCTTCGTCTCATCTCTCAAGAGGATGGCAGCATTGTCCATTCATATACAAGCTTCTTGTGAACAGCTCTCGTGACTTTGCGTAGTTCGGCTTTTAGATGGTTACTGAGAGCCACCGATACCAGCAGGGGCAAAGGAATTTTGGACATTGAGGTGGTTCTTCCTACAGGAATTTTTGTTTAACAGCAAGTTTATCTGTATACCAGTTAGATCAAGCTGAGCCATTAGCAAATGAAGGTCAGGGGAAATGATTCTCTCTTTGAACCCTAGAAGAGGTAATCAAAATGGTACAGACAGTCTTCATTCTTTATCTAGGTTAAAGTAGAACAGAATTAAGCTGTAATACATATAACATCCTCCTGCTATGAAGCAGATGCAATATTCCTATCCCAGTGAAACACAGTGGTCTTCCGAAAACTTGTAAAGTTATAAGGCATATTTCAGACAGGAGCAAGAAAATCTGGGTACAAAATAAAGTAGGGAGAGTCAGGGAGAGAAAAAAAATGTTATACATTGGGGTACATATATAACAGGAAATAACACTTCCATGTTGCCTTTTATATCTTATATCAGTGTTTCTCTACCTTTTTGAATCAAAGGATCACTTAGCCTTTTTGAAAACAAAACACCAACCACGGATCAGCCTGAACAGCACTGTCACAGTATTTCAATTTCTAACAAAGAAAACTTCAAATGTTGTTTTATTATTTCTTTTTCTCCCATTCTGTTTGTTTCCTTGCTTGATGTGTGGGAATGTGTATGCGCATTATAAAAAGCACCACTGTTCTGAAGACCATCCTGTGATGTAGTACAGCCATTACAAGAAATGTCCCAACAGCAGGATCACTGGCATTTAGAGGAATGTGACAGCAGACTGACAAGCCTCACAAGGCCTTCAAGAACAAACTAAGGAGGTTAAAAGGACATTTCTGTAAGTCCTTTTCATTCTGCTTTAGCCTAAGTCACTTCACAAATTTAAGCCCACGTGTGGAAATCACTTTGCTCAACAGTGAAATGCAGCAATCGCCACTGCTCGTTTTCAGTCAGCTGAATGTAATCACCCAGGTTGGAATTCGGCCAGGATACTCTCCTACTCTGCAATAAACTGCCAAAAGCTCCGTCATGACCAAAAATGCTCAAGAACTTGCTTTTATTCTATTCAAAGCTGGACTTTCTACAGTTCATCATCCCCAGAACCAGAAGATTCAAGACTGACTTCAGTATCGGAAAAATATCACTCGGTAAGTGAACACTATTTCCTACAGCGAGTCTCCTGGAAGGTCTCCTATCCAAATACGAACCTGGTTCAGTCTTGCTGAACTACAGGTAGAAGGACTAAAGCACAACATGTATGTTTGTGTTTATTGTGTATGAACATGGTAGTAATGATAGGTACAGGACCGACAGAACAAGGTCTCATGCAGAGGACACTGTGCAGAATGGGCAGCGGTTGACATGTGTTTTCACCCTTTGCTCCACTAATTTGTCCCAAACTTCCCCCGAACTCCACAGCTCTGAGTTCAGCTGCCAAAGTTCAAAGGCCCAGTCTGGCCTCTCTTTTCAACAGTCTTTAAGACTGTTATGAAGGTGCCCAGTTACAGCCACGAATAAAATCTTGAGGTCAGGCAAAACCGTCAATTGGGTTTGAAGACAGGTCTGTCTTTAGTACTCAAGCATACAAAAGAAACAGGAGATTTGAAAAATCATGCGCTTAGACATTTCACCTGAAACTTTAAGAAGGGAAAAACATATACAATTCATATTTTTGCAGATTTTATCAGATAGCAATAAAAAAAGCCTGAAGGAAGACATGGGTGAAAGGAGAAGTGAGCTTACCGACATTTAAAACAAGTCGTAAAACCTGTTTCTTATATTGCTTGCTTCATAATATATTAAAAACCCCACCACATCCAACAAAAACCCAATCCGCTTAAATGTGCAGGACTGCAGCGTCATCCTTTGACACAGATTTTAATGTTCCCATCAACATAATTGCAGAAGTCAGCACTGTTTAAGGCATTGATTTGGAAAGATTTAAAGCCCAATCCCCACGGACAGGAACAAGACTTGCAGGTATTCTGTCTGTCTCAGCATCAGGCCTTAGAAGTTTAATGCTGTTCTGGGACCTGGGTGGATTTCTGAGCCGTAAAATATATGAATATATGTGAAAATGGCCAGGAGGAGGATTGTATCTTGTGGTGAAGACAATTTATTTGCTTTTAAATTGGGTACATTAAAATATTTTATGAAAACAGTGAAAGAAATTGATCCAGCTGCCGCTTGGACCATCCCCAGAGCTGGAGCTCAGCATGCTGAACAAACTCCACCCTTTATTACCTTCTATTTTAAAAGGGGAGTGGGTCAGATTGTTAGAAGAGTTCAGATGCCATTTAGGCACCAAGGAAAAAAAGTGACACTGAGGCTCAGCGAATCGGGCACAGCGTTGTGCTAACATGGCTACAGAGCTTCTGGACCGAGGCTGGCCAGCCTGGCCTCCTGCCCTGCGTGCGCAGCCTTCAGGGAGCTAAAAGGGAGCTGAGCTTTCCTGAAAAACCCAGCCTGCGTCTTGCAACAAGTCAGGGATCAGATGAGCTGTCTGCTGATGTAAGAGCATGTTGACTCACTCTAAAGGTTCTTCTTGGGGGTTTGGACTCTACTCTGCCTGGAGCACTCGCCTCGAGCAAGCACCTCCGTGACTCCACTCTCCGCTCTGCCCAACATACTGAGGGGTAGCAGATGCTCACCGACCAGCCAGGGCTGTCCAGCAGCTTGGGGAGGGAAGGTCTAGCTTTGGTAGGATCTAAAGAAACAAGAAGACAAAAAGAGATGGACGTGGTGTGGGGGAGAGCCCCGGGGAGGAAGGGGGAGGCCAAGGAAAGGGGTGCGGGAGCCGGGCCTAGCGAAGGGCTGGCCGAGGAGGGGGTGCGTGGGGCGGGGTGGGGTGGGGCGGGGGCGGAGGGGGGGGGAAGGCCCGGCGGCCGCGGGAAGAGGGCGCAGCGCGTCTCCATAGCAACCGCCTCCCACCCGGGCCGGGCCCGCGGGGCTCGGCGGCCGCCCCCCGGCAGAAAACGGCACCAAGCGGAGCGGGAGGCGCCGGGCCGGGCCCCGCGGGCCGCCCGCCGTCACCTACCTGCAGCCCCGCGCCAGGTGACAGCCAGCGCCGTGTGCACCGAGTAAAGCCTTCCCCTGCCCTCCCCCCTGACCCCGCAGGCTCCCCCCGCCTGCTCGCGGGCCCCAATGGCCGGCGCGCAGCGGAGCCCCGCCCCGAGCCCAGTCGGGCCGCGCCGCCCCAGTCCCGTTCCCCCCCCCCACCCCCCCCCCCCCCCCCCGCTCCGCCGCCCGCACCGCACCGCCCCGTCCCGTCCCCCCCGCGCCGCGCCGCGGGCAGAGGCAGCGGCGCGGAACCCCGGGGCTGCCGCTCGCGTGGGCGACACGGCGCTTCCGCTGCGGAGCACCGCTCGCCTCCCCGGAAGCGGCGCCGCAGCTTGGCCGCGCCGATTGGCCGGAGGGGCGAGCGAGCTCCGCTGGGATTGGCCCTGCTGCCGAGCGTGGGAGGGGCAAGGGGGGTGGTGGGGGAAGGCGGGCGGGCGGCGGCAAGATGGCGGTGCAGGCGGTGCACCTGGAGGCTGATGCTTTTCTCGTGTGCCTCAACCACGCGCTGAGTACCGAAAAGGAGGAAGTGATGGGGCTCTGCATCGGCGAGGTACCGGCGCCGGGCGCGGCTGCCCTGGGGGCACAATGGGGGCGGCGGTCGGCCCACTCTCACCTTGCGAGGGGGGCCGGGCCGGGAGCGTTGTGCGGGGCTCTGCCGGGTCGGTTCCGCGGCGGAGCTGTGCCCCTGAGCCTCAGGCCTCCGCTCCTGGCCAGCGCCGACCCGTAGTTCCAGCTGCTGTGAAAGTCGAAGCTTAGTCAGGAAAGCTTCCCGTCTGCACGCCTGGCTGTGCGCTGTTGCGTACATTTTCCCTACTGAAGGTAGAGGAGCCGGCCTTTTCTTTGAGGGTGGTTGTTCCTTTAGCAGAGGAGTGATCGATTTTTCCTTCTGTGTCACTAGGTTGACACCAGCCGAATTGTTCATATCCATTCTGTGATCATCCTGCGCCGCTCTGATAAGAGAAAAGATCGTGTGGAAATTTCACCAGAGCAGCTTTCAGCTGCTTCTACTGAGGCAGAGATATCCTTTAGTAGATACAGCAGCAAACCAAGTGGTTTACCTCAGACCTCTTTTTATGTGCTGTGTTTTAGATTTGCTCTAGTTAGCTTGAAGTTGTCTGTTGCTTCCCTCCTACAATTGTTGGGTTTGGAGGGCTGTGCTGGCAGTTGCTGCTCCTTGAAGTCTTTGCAGTGGAATTGTGTTAGAACTGTTTTCTATAATTCCTTTCTGTATGGTCATGAGTAAAACTGAAGTATGTTTTTGGGGGTGGGTAGCATTCCAGCAGGGAGACTTAGTAGAAGATGAAAGGTTGACAAGTCTCTGTTTCTGAGCATGGTGCAGTGGAGAGCCTTTTCCGCACGTACACTCAAGGATGCTGTTTTGTACAGCTTGCTGCCATGTTGCTTACTGCCACATGCAAACGAAATCCAGTTTGCTTCTGCACCAGTGGCATCCTGCTGGTGCTGGGGAAGAGGCTTCCATCAGCTTCCTGCTGTGCGTCTTGTCACCCTTGAAAGGGATCTGGAACTCTGTTGACTGATGAGAAGTTCTTTTAAAACTCTGCTGTTTTTCCTTGTAAAAAAGACTTCCATTTGCTCTGTTGGTTTCAAAAACACCTTGACTCACGCACAGGTTGGCTGAAATGACGGGACGTCCCATGAGAGTTGTGGGCTGGTATCACTCTCATCCTCATATCACTGTCTGGCCATCACATGTCGGTAAGAGCAGTCTTGGTCTAGGTTCTCTATGAAAACTCACAGCTGGTGAATCATATTACTCAATTTACTGGATTTTCAGAGCTGCACATTCAAACAGTCAAAGTTTGGTTTCTCAGATGTCCTCTGGTAGGACAAGATTGTCTGGATGGGCTTCAGGAACTTCGGCCAGTACAGCCCCATTCCTGTCTGTATGCTCCAGGTGCTCAAACTGCATATGACTCAGTAGTCACGGAGCAGCTACTGCTAGTACTACTGTTCTTCCAGACAGGAGAACTAGACCAAGGGTGTGGGGAATAACAAAAAGAGCTGTGGGAATCATAGGCCTGGTGTAATGATTTTTGACATTTGTGAGTGTTAATGCAAAAATGAAAACTCTTTTGAAAGTGTATGAGTATCTTATACATGTTGGACATTATGGTCATATAGTGATCTATGGTACCAGGGTGATGATAAGATCTTTTCTTATTTTGTTAACTCCTCTTATATTTTTAAGATTAGATATTTAATTCCATCTTAAATTGGATCAATTTATTTATTTTTTTTTAACTTAGACATCTGGAGTAAGGACTTCAAAATAAAGTTCGTGGCATTTGTTACCAAATTCTAGGTCACCCTTCAAAAGAAGGCAAATCGTTTTTCACTCCTTCAGGTGACCAGTGCAGATCTCATTCTCTTTATTTGTCTTCAGATGTCCGCACACAAGCTATGTATCAGATGATGGACCAAGGTTTTGTGGGGCTTATCTTTTCCTGCTTCATTGAAGACAAAAACACAAAGGTAGGCATCTTAAAAATGGCAATAAACCCTCCAAGTACTCAAGAGAAACAACAGCCCCAGAGCAAAGCTGAAATCCTTGGATGCAGCGTGCAAGAAGGGCTCAGCTCTACTTGGAGCACTGTCAAATCATGGCTAGAATAGTGATGTTTGGGTCGTAATCCCAGTGACAAAATAACAAGTTATTAATTACTTTGTGCTGAGCCACAGCCTGGCTCTTCAGCCAGCAGACCTGGGCTGGTACTGGGGTACTGGGATTTCATCAGATGGCTGCAGCGTGTGAGTGCCTTTCAGCTGTTCAGTCCAGCAGACACAGCTTATTGAACCTCTGTCCCTCTGGCCGCTTTAGGAGATGCTGCTATAGTGTGAGATAAGCTGACAGTGGTGTGTCTTGTCTAGGCTTTCCAAGTAGCTGTTTAAGATTTTTTTTTATAGTTAATGGGTCTGTCAATATCTACATGTAAACAGTTCCAGGATACCAATCAAAGCAGAAAACGTATGCCTTTAGAATGGGTTAAAATGCTATTTAAAAGCACATTCTGCTTCCTAAAGGAATGTGTGGTTTTAGATGATTTTTTGCTCTTGGAATCTGACTTTCTGCTGTCTCTCTTAGACAGGCAGGATTCTCTACACCTGTTTCCAGTCCATTCAGGCCCAGAAGAGCTCAGAGTGAGTACAGCAGAAGAATAATATGTCCAGCATCAGATTGTATTTCTTCTTGACTCTCCTTTCCACACTGTCTCAAATAAGTGTCTTCTAGGCTCATCATTGGTAGCAAATACTGTATAGAGATGCCTGAGCAAGGACTCCTGCTAAAACAGGCTGACTGAAGAGAATCTAAAGATTAGCACAGATTAATTTAGCCTAGATAATTTAGTAGTTTAAGATTTGGTGTAGGACACTGTAGTCCGGATATGAATTTGTGCTGTAATCTGTTGTGTAGAAGGCCCACCCTTTTGCTTTCAACTCTAGAGGTTGAGGCTGTAAGATTGTATGGTGTAGAGACCCCACCAACCACACACACACTGTGTGTCATATTGTCAGTACTGGCCAGCTAGTTGCTTTAGCATTTTATTATTAAAATTTAAGACACGTGTGGCTACAAAAGGCTTCCATTTGCCTATTAACTCAGATGTGTTCCTAAAAGTAAATCTGCAGCAGTGCGGTGCAGTGGACAGACTATTGCAGGTTTGTAGAAGTCCATTTTTTTTTTTTCCCCCCTCTCTACTGCTTTGAAGTTAATTGTATCTGATGCCCTTTTAGATATGAAAGGATTGAAATTCCTATTCATGTCGTCCCCCATGAAACCATTGGGAAAGTGTGTCTGGAATCAGCTGTAGAGCTGCCCAAGATCCTTTGCCAAGAAGAGCAAGATGCCTACAGGAGAATTCACAGGTAACACTGGGACTGTACCTTTCTTCAAGACTGTCTTGGCTAGCATGTTCTACTGCTGCTGTACTTAAAGTACCATAACCTTAGCAGGGGTATAGAAAATAAGAAGCATCAGTAGTTCATGTGCCTATGTAGGAGAACCGATTGAATACCTTCACAGTAAAGAGTTCAAGTTCTCTCCACCTTGCACACAAGCTAAATGTAACTGCTCCTTTGCTGCAAGAAAAAAAGAGCTAGAGCGTGTTTGAGCTAATGGTGGCGCTTAGTGATGTGTCTGTGTGTGACAACAATTAGTGTTTAACCAGGGTAAGGGTGCTGAGAAGTAGTCTGAAAAATGATATTAAATATCTGCTTTTGTTTTTTTCCTGCCTCTGGTGCTCAACACTGATATCTATGCTGTAAGCTCTTCGTTACCCGTGTCATACAGGACTCCAACAAGCGAAGAGGTTTTGATATATCTGCAGCATCAGTGACTTGTAGATAGCTGGTTCTATAGCCTGGGTTTGCCTAACATGCAATTCACTGCTGTCTTGTCACTAACCTGCATTCTGTTCATTGTCTTAGCCTCACCCATCTAGACTCCGTAACCAAGATTCATAATGGCTCAGGTAAGGATTCCTTTTCTGCATGCGAGAATTCAGGATGCTGTTCCCAGAGTCAAAACAGTAGAGTCTTGAGCAGCGGTTGGTTTGGCTCTGACTTTGGGGGACAGTAGACCACAGCCGTGTAACAGTCTTCCCCTTGCCATGAAAGGCACTCGTAAATAACTATAAAAGCACAAACTTTTGTCTTTGCCATACAGTTCATTTCTAATCACAATGTATAACATTACCAGAGAATTCCCTGAGACTTATCTTGTTACGTAAAGTCTAGTGGAGGAACAGAATTGTAACTAAACACTTTAAAGGAAAACATCAAGGCCTCTAAAATAACTTAATCCTGGGGTTTATGAATGCTGTCATATCCTTTGACCTTTGTACTTTTGGTTAAAATTACGATAGACTTTGGGTTTGTTTGGGATTTTTTTTGCTGTTAGAACAGAAAAACATGGGGATTTTTGGATTTGGTGAGTCTTAAAGTAGTGTCTGACTGATCTATACGCATGCTTGCATCTCCTGGCACTTCCTGTATGTTACGTGCATATGACGTCTTTGCTTTTGCCAGTGCGGATGAATCCTAATCCTGCTTCTGTTCCAGAATAAATACCCCGTTGTCCATTCTCACCTGTTCAATAAATGAGGCATTCTTTGCTTCTGAATTTAGAAATTAATTAGCATCAATGATGAATTATATGCAGATTTCCAGATTTATTTTGTAGGTCTGTCAAACCTCCCTTGGGTATCTAAAGGTCAAATTGAAATACCTTGTTGCCCTGTTTAGCAAGTGGCTGATTCTGACTTTCCTGTGGGGATGTCCGGTTGCCTTGGCTGGGATGTTGGAGGGTTTCCTTGGCTGTCTCTAATGCTCTTGGCTTTGGGGTTGTTGTAGCACGCTGAGTCTTTTGTGTGATATATTCTTGCTCTTTCCAGTGTTCACAAAGAACCTCTGCAGCCAGATGTCTGCCATCAGTGGGCCACTCCTTCAGTGGCTGGAGGACAGACTAGAGCAGAATAAACAGCGGGTGCAGGAGCTGCAGCACGAGAAAGAGCAGCTCCTGGAGGAACTAGCTGCTTTAGAGTGAAGGAGGATATGCAGACCCTTCAGAAAAGAGACAAAAAAAACTCTACAAGACCTACTCCTGGCTGAAGAGGGGCCCTACATTGCCTTACAGTGAAGATACTAGCTGTGCCTCTTCTCTTGCCCCATGCAGCAAAGAGCATTTCAACAGGATAAGGGCTTCATCTGCCCCAGCTTCATGGAAAGCAGTGGTATCTCTCCAGGTGCTGCATGATGCACTAGAATTGTAGCTCAGTGGTGGGATTAAGGAGCATCCGAAGAGACTTCAGTTCTGGAGGGCACACACCTAGGGAACATGTTGTTTCTCCCTCCCCTATATTTTGATGGAAGTCTTACTGCTTTACATGTATTCCAGGAGCCTAGAACAGGAGATTTGGAGGGGAAAAGTGAAACCCTGCAGTAATATCCGATGCTGCCAACTTCTGTCCTCTTTTAGTAGCTTCAGTTACTGTGATCTTGTATCTAGTAATGTTCTGGATTACTGGTTATGCACCCAGGCAGGTAAGAGGTGGGAGGGAAGCTTGGGAAGAGACCTGGAAGATCTCGTGACATAGCATCTGTGTTCAGCATACTTCAAACCAAATAAATAATCCCAAAGTCAGAGCTGTTTGGAGTAGAAATGAGATGGATGCTACAAAGTGCCAGTGTCTGCATTTTTTAGACAGAGTCTGTATTCTCTTAATTCATGTAATGCTGTTGCATGCCCAGTGCTGAGGTCCTCACAAAATGGACTGTTTCTGCTGGCTCAGTGGGAGTATGGTTCCTTCCCAGAGAGGAAAAAGGCTAAGATGATAAGTGATAGGCATGCAAGTGTGTCATTCTTACATGCTGAACTCAATTGCAGAAATTTCACTGGTTTTAAATGGAATGAATACCTGTTGTTGAAGTAATCCTTTAAATGTCCTTCCTGTTGCATTTCATAGTATCCTTCATCGTGTACGTAGTCATCTGCATTCTGTTATGTGAAGCTCGTCTCATGTGAGCAAAGGAACCAACAGCACAGTTAAAACTTGTGTTTCAGGTCCTTGGTTCTAACCTAAATCGTTACATGCTCAAGTAGATGAAAATGAGCTGCCTGCATTACTGCAGTGAAGGTTGTGATTTTTCTGACAACTCATTAGCTTGACTGTTGCTCTGGGAGAATGAAAGTAACAGAGCTGAGAAAGAGGCATTCCCTTTCCAGTGCACAGCCAATATTGATTTGCCGATGTAAATGGCGGTCAGACCTGGAAGCCCCTTAGCCAGCTTGTTTTGATCACTTTGTTGACCTTTCTGCCCAAGCACCGGAGCGGCCGCGAACAAGGGGGGCAGCGGGACTCCGCTCCGTGTTGCGCATGCGTCGCGCCGCCGGCCGCAGCGCCCCGCTATGGCCAGTGGGGCAGCAGAGCGAAGGGTGCCACATTGCGCATGCGTGCACTCGGCGGCATCCTTGCACTCGGCAGCGGCGCGGGTGGCCGGTAGGGGGAGATAGTGCGCCAAAGCAAGTTGTCACTGCGCACGCGGCCGGTTGCGGCACGGCGCTCTGGGCACGTGATCGACGGGCGCACGCGCCGCCTCACGCCCATGGGGGGAGCCGTCCATGCTGTGCTGACGTCACTGCCGGCAGCCCCGCCCCGCCCCGGCCGGTGTGACGTTCGGCCACCCGCGCCCGGCGACCCCCCCCCCCCCCCTCCTGCGCCGGCACCGGGGGCTTCCTCAGCGGTGGCCGCGCCCGGTGCGGCGGCTCTGCCGCGGCTTTTCCCGCTGGAGCCGGCGGGCCGCGCGCGTGAACCCGAACCGCTTCCTTGGCCTCGCTTGGCTCGGCCTCCCGCCCGGCCCGGGCCCGCAGGCGAGCGGTCTCGGTGGCGTTTCGGTAACCGGGCAGGGCCCGGCGCGGGGCTGGTGGCTGCGTCCGCACCGCGGCAGAGAGAGGCAGCTCCGCGGGGCCCTCGGGAGCGGCCCGGGGAGCCCGGTGGGGTGTGGGGCTGCCCGGTCGCGGGCGGGGCCTCTGCACTGGCGGTGACGGGTTTCTGTGGGAGCAGCGCTTTGTTTCTGCTCCTCATGTCGTGCAGGGAGCTTTGCTGGGAAGGCTCAAACCAAACGCTTCCAGGGAACTTTTCATACAGCCCTGCCTGGGTTTACATTGTCTTACTTTCTTATGGCACCCCTGGAGCGTGGCTCTCCTTTATTGTCAAATACTTGATTGGCGACTCAGTAAGTAGCCATCATTTTCCACGAACTCTGAATTCTCTGTTTTATTTTTTCTAGGTATAAGAATCTGCAAGTGACCCTGAGGTTCAGTGGGTTCAGTGGCGTGCTGGTGTCCTCTCCCTCCTCCCCCACCTTCCCCTCAATATTTAGAGTGGAGGTGGTGTTAAGATACCCAAGAAGATAAATTACTTATGGTCCACTGAAAACTATGCAATTTGGAAAAGGTGGGTTTTCTTTAATGGACACACAGTTCTCAATAGCTGTTTTTCTGTGTACTTTACAATGTAACCTGCTTGCTTTCAGAAACTTCCTGTTCTATCTGGAGGGACTGATGTTGTGATTCCCTTATAGGCAGGGAATCCATGGTGAGTAGAAAGCAGAGAGCAGGAAGCTCAGAGTCATCAGGGTTGCATGCAGCATGTGAAGTATGGGTGTCAGGACAGTGAAAGATACCTCTCAGTCTGGAGTTTAGCAGAAGATAACGGGAAAGATTGCCACCATTGCATGATGATTTGAGATCTGTCAGTTTAGTGGTAACCTGAAGAGTAACGATTTTTTTTGAGGTGAGGGATATGGGATAAGTTATATCTCATGACAAAAGTTTGGATGTATTTACAAAATATGTTGCATTTTGTTGTTGTTTTATTTCTGTGAAGAAAATAAGAGTCAGGAAAAGCAAAAGAGAACACTGAAGGGCTATGGGAAATCTCAGCCATGCTGCAGGACACAGCATGGGCTTTAGGCATGTCCTTGGGGAAGGAGAAATGCATTGCTCCTGGTGGGATAACAGGCACTATTAATTACCAACTTTAAGTGCCAGAAGTGTTGTAAAAGCAGAAGGAACTATAGATGTCTGGCACTCTGGCCCAGCAGATCATGGAGCACATGTAAAGCTTTAAAAAACAAAACAAATAAACAAAAACTCAAGAACAACAGAACACACCAAGCAGTTAACCTAAAGCAAACTATTTAGGCTTCACTGACAGAATCGGGTAGCTTTGTGTAATGAGAAGTTATTCCATTGATCACAGTTAAAGCTTTGGAAAAGTGGTCTGAAAGTATAATAGCCTAATTGGTCTCAAGATTCTTTTTGCTTTGTTTTGCAGGGTCATCCTGCAAAGGAGGACACTTGAAGAGAAGCAGCTGGATGTAGTAATACAGTAGTTCATTTCAGTCATTTTCTTTGAGGCAAGCATCTAAGTATAGGAGACGTATCAAAAAGGTAATACATTTAAACCAGCAGGAAATGAGTTACGTGCTGGCATTCTTCTAGGCAGTTAAGCCTTGAAAGAAAGGTGGGTGAAGTGTTTCTATATGAAAGTTTGAGAGGGAGTACTGAGCAAAAGAACACCAGAAGCTGCTTGGAGCTGTGGTAGAACCGAGTTTGTTCACTGATTCAAACTTTTTATTATTCTCTTACAAATATGAATGAAAACAAACCAAAGAATGATGACATTTGTCTGAAAAACAGAGGCTATTTGGGGATCTCTTTTGATAAATGAGGGGAAAAAATATGAAAATAAGGGTGCGGAGGGTAGTAGTTTTCCAGGAAAATTAACACAGAAATGTGTAGTTTTCATCCATTACTCAGAGCTTCAACACAGATGACTGTACTTGTGTTTGGCTGAATTAAATGAAGTTTGTATCACCGATGAGACTATTTAATGATGTTTGTTAAGTGGAATTAAGTAGTTTAAGTGAATCTTAAAGCATTGGAAATGCAATTTCAATCTGTCTGCTTAATTGGAATAGCAAACTAACAGAATTGAGATGCTGCAGACCTCTTAGAGAAATCCTATGTAAGAAATCATCTCTTCTAACTTCATGCATGCAGTGTCTATCCTGTGATAGAAGTTTGTGTGCATTGGGAACAGGAAAAAAAAAAAAAGCAACAAATCCTTCTAGAGCTCTGTTTCCATTCAGAAAATTAGTCTTTTAAATAGTTGTCCATACAAATTACCATTTTGACTGTAGCTAGAAAAAATGGGTATTTCCAATATTTTTCTTCCCTCCTCATCATCAGAACTACTGTGATCTACTAGATTCAGTTACTGTTACACAGTCACCGAGACAAAATTGTCCTGACAAACATATAAAACAGTGCCAAATAAAGGAGGGCAAAGAACAAAGAATTAGACAGTGGGAATAAGTAGGAAAACTCAAATATTGCAAGAAACCAAAGATCTTTAGTGGGTCACAAATAAGTAGCTATCACTGGTCTTTCAGTTTTTACTGGTTTCTGGGAAGAAAAGGAAGTTAGAGTAAGGTTAGTGAGAGGAAAGGCTGAAGAGCACAGTAGTAGGAATTTTTAAGGAGTGGATTTAGGACTAGGACAAGCTCTGGTGCTTCTTATTTTGTCCCTTTAAATATGTTAGGTGATTTTTAATGCTACACTAAAATATTAGAGTTAGGAAGATCAGGGGCTTGGGAGGTCTTTTCACTGCATGATCTTGCTAAGCTCAGGAAAATATGATGGAAGCTGATGTCAGCTATAGGGAATATTTCAGGCTTAGTTCTTAGGAAGGTATGGGTTAGTGCATTAGCTTTGTGACTTACGTTATAAGTAATGTTACAGCTGGAGTTGGGATTGAGGAACTGGAAAGAGCAGCTGGATGAACAGATTAGTGCAGAATGTTTCAAAATTTGAACAATTCAGATAACAGTAAACAAAACAAGTCAAAATAATATTGTTTTTTTTTTTTTTATCTTGGAATGGCTGTCATGGTACAAAGGAAAATTAGGGCAGTCATTAGGTTTTGTGGTTTATGTGTGTTTGAAGGTAGTACCTATAGAAAAAAAATCATGCTGCTTATATTTAACCAAGCTCAGGTTCTGAGCTCTGTGAGGTCTGGGACAGACATTCTTTGAATCTGCTTAGCCCAATGAAGTAGGTTATTTCTCAGAACTGTTTTCATTATCATGCAGAAGGTTACCTCCTTTGCTGGAAGTGTATATCCTATGTGGGCTTTCCTGACAGAGCTGGGTTAGGGAGTACTCCCATAAGCTCCTCAGTCACCAGTTTGTTGAGAGAAGTAACTTCCAGCAAACACTAGCAGATGATGTAATTTCCTGATGGCAAAGCAGGTCTCTTTGGAGAACAGCTCTCCCCGGCCTTGAATCAGAGAGGGAATCAGGTCTTTTGCTGCTTTCAGTTTAACTCTAGAAAGCAAAACGAAACAGAAGGTTCCTCGGTAGTAAAAAACTGTCAAGAATATATATCTGGGTTTTGGCCTCTTGACAATCTAGCACCTGACAGAAGGTGTTGGATATGACTCTTTTCTTTAAACTGAAACCTGTCTGACCAAGACTTGTTCCCACCTAAGAGTGGTTTGTTTTGAATTAGTTTAAATTGACTGGGAGCTAGTTCAAGCTGAAGCTCTGTGAATTGGTCACAAACAGAAATAAACACTTCAGTCGGTGCTTTCAGTGGTTGAACTGCAGTAGAGGGACACAATTTATGTGTTATTTTTCTAGGTCTGTTTGAGTTTCATAGCTGGAAACCTGCAAGTGTAAATGAGGCAGTTTTATGCATGCAAACTATCCAGTTGCAGTGTTAGTAGCCAGCAGTAGCAGGGGATGGGTTTGTTTCAGAAGTACCTGGTTTGGGGAATTAGACACTATTTCTGTGATTTATGCGGATGCAGAAAGCTTGGAGCTTAAGCGCACAGAGGTTTGAGTTGCAGAAATGTGTCTGAGAAGTTTGGCTAGGTTAAAACCTGTCTTGCTCTCTCCTTGTCCCTTCTGTTTTCTAAAGTTCATTAGAACAGGTATTTCCCCATATTTACCTCCTTAAAGTTTCTATAAAGGTATAACAGAATTGTGGCTAATTGCATCCTGTAAAATTAGAGAGCTGGGCTTTACCTTTTGGGATATGGCTGCTTCTCAGTAGCATAAGCAAATAACATGTGAAAATACTCTGCAGGAAGAAAGCATGACATGAAACAAACATTTATTAAAAAGGACTCTACGGACAAATTAAACAGGTAGCAGCACACTGTTACTCCTACTGGGCACTGGAGTAAAATATTTAAAACACAGAAGCCAGTGAAAATGCCAGATATTGCTAAAATAACTAAATGCTAAAATGAAAACTTATGTTGGAAGAATTAGAAAACTGTAAAGGAAAGCACTTTATTTAAAGTGCTAGTAAAGCACTGTTTAAATATTCTGTTATTTAGAGTAACGCATCAATGGCTATTCTTTCAAAATTAGATTCTGGAACTTGAAGCTGTGGGCAGGCTCAGTCAGTGTCCTGTTTAGAAAGCTAAAGTTGAATTCAGGAAGTGCAAGTATTAAAATTTGTCTTACATTTTCTCTATAGTTAAGGGAGTCCTTGGCACTAAAGTTTGAAAAACTGATCTATCCCAGCTTGGGTACAAAAATTTCTATAGCGAAGCCTTTAGACACAGTAGAGTGTTCATATGCTTTTAGCATGAGCTTAAAGTAGGGGGCAGGGTAGAGTCTTGTGATTTTTTTTTTTTTTTTTTTTGCTGTTTGGTTGCTGAGCAACAGAACTATCCTTTTGAGGCAAGTGAGGAACCAGGAAAAGACCCTGAAAACCATCTATAACAAAAGAATTCAGTGATTTTGTTGTTGCTTAAATACCCATTGAAAAGGGCATGACAAAGCCAGGGTCAAACCAGACTTTAGTAACATCAAAGTCTTGTAAGTTCTGAGAAGGGTCTCTTTGTGGATATTAAGAGAATTTAACCCAAGTAAAAATTAATTTGAGCCAAGTGAAGAAGCATCCTCAGAGGACCTTAGGTACAAAGGAAGAAGCCATTGCTGTTCCATAGATCAAAAATGCAGTAGACTTCTGGTAAGAACTATACTTCAGACAGCTTCCTCCTCTGACTAAAAACCAAGAAATCAGTATTGCATAATTATCCCTCTGGTCTCTTGAGAAAGGTGCCTGGGAGAAAAGAGCACGGGGCTGTCACGAGAAGAGCTCTTCAGTTAAACTTCCTTAATTAATCTGTGAGAGAAAAGGACAATACTGGTTCCCTATGAAAGATACTGCTTTGCTCCCTCATCCAACCCCCAGGATCCCTTAATACATAATACAGATTTTGTCTTCTTCAAATAATTGGAATCCTAGAATATCTCGAGTTGGAAGGGACCCATAAAGATCGTCAAGTCCAACTCCCTGCTCCTTGCAGGACTACCTAACACTAAACCACACGACTAAGAGTATCATGCAGACTCTCCTTGAACTCTGACAGGCTTGATGCCATGACTGCTTCCCTGGGGAACCTGTTCCAGTGACCGACCACCCTCTCAGTGAAGAATCTTTCCATAATGTCCATAATGAATTTCCCCTGATGCAGCTTCATTCAGTTTCCTGGTGTCCTATCACTGGTCACCAGAGAGAGATCAGCAGCTCCCCCACCACTGTTCCCCTTGAGGAAGTTGTAGACTGTGATGAGGTTCCCCTTCACCTTTCTCTTCTCCAAGCTGAACAAACCAAGTGACCTCAGCTGTTCCTTGTAAGTCTTGCTGAGACCTTTCACCATCTTGGTTGCCCTCCTCTGGACACACTCTTAATAGTTTGATGTCCTCCTTGTACTGAGGTGCCAAAAACTGCACACAGTACTCGAGGTGGAGCTGCACCAGTGCAGTGTGGAGTGGGACAATCCCTTCTTTGACCAGCTAGCTGTGCTGTGCTCGATGCACCCCAGGACACAGTTGACACTTTTGGCTGCCAGGGCACACTGCTGACTCGTATTCAGTTAGACTCATTCTCAGCAACGCACGCGATTCATATGGCAGAACTTCATAAAGGATGTGAAAACAGGTTTGCAAACGCCAGTGCGTGATTGATACAAGCACAATATGTCATATTCACAGTTTTTCTTTTTTTAAAAAAACAAGCCTTGTTAAACACGAGGGCACAAGAGACTAGTTTAAAGAAGTAAAAATACAAAACCGCCATACTAAATTAGTAAATGGTGCATCCTTAAGCATACTTCAATTTAGAGCTCTAGAGATCTCCCAAGAAAGAAGGAACCTGGCAAAGTAACAGCAATGTGAGAGCAGCTATGACTAACCCTATTTCAGAACTGTAAGTCTAAGTTTCTACAAATCTATCCTTCTATTCACACTACTTCATCGCAGACCATTTGCCCATTCTCCATTGTCACTACTACTTAAATTTACGTACAGGTGTCATCAAAGTATGCTGCTCTCATGTATGCACTTTTGGCAAGTCCATGTACGGTCCTTTAACTCTGTGTGCATTTTCCCTTAAACTCTGTAGGAATTGCTCTGAACAGGAGATACAGCATGTGGCCACTCTGCCAGTTAAAAGTAGAATCCAGTATTTGTGTTAGAAAACACGCATAATGATCGAGTTAGTGCAGTACTGCTATTTGGAGCATGGGGTCAGGCTATCCTCCACTATTGCTATCTCACAGGGACTGAATCCCAGTAGTTCAGCCAACAGAATCTGCTCTTCACATATTTTCAGGAGCACATGGTCATCATTCTCTCTGCTGTTGACAGATTTGGCTATGAAACATTAAAATGGGAGAATACCAACTGAACTTGGTGTAAATTATAGGTCTATATTCAATAAAATACTCATGTACTTTGTGGTAGAGTTGGGAAATTAATGATGATGTATGTGATTTGGCCAGCAAAATTTGTTTATGTGGATTTGTACAGTCCCCAGCATTTGTCAACGTTCTGATGAGAGATTTGGGACTTCTCTGTTCTTCCTATTTAACAAGCAAAGTTCTCAATATAACCACTCTAGCATAATAGTAGAGGAATACCTGGGCTAAAGAGGAAGAATGTAAACAGGCAGTCCATTCCTCCTGAAGTTAGTGAAAAGAATATTTAATACTTGAGATCAATTTAGACAACAAAGGCAGTGACAAAACTGGGATTAGAAATGAGTAAGTTCTAAGCCTTGCTTCTGTATTTGGGTCAGTGCCATTGTCCCCATTGGAGGAGCTGTTGTTAGATGAGGTGAAACAAAGAGAAGACTGATACAGGGAGCAGTCTAAAGGATCCTTTAGTCAGGGTTCTTTTGGCACACATACGGAGCAAAAAAAAAAAAAAACTGGACTGAAATAAAGCTTACTTGAAAATTACCTATTAAAAGATACAAAAATAGCACGTTTTGGTTGAGGGACGACAATGACACCAAAGCCAGGCAGTTCTGGTGAAATTATCATTTTTAGTTGACACCGTTCCTGGTGCATGTAACTGAATTTTCCTGTGCTCCAGTGGAGGATATGTCTACCAAAGGAGATTTTGGCTGGAGAAACCAGGAATAGAAGATGTGCACAGGGGCTCATATTGCAGCCTGTGTGCATAGAGATTTGGGATATTTCATGCATGTTTCCTAGAGAACCACAGTGATCTGGTTGGCCACGGAGCCTAGGAGGACCATTAATACAGTTCATTTGAGCCTTGTACTTAAGTCAATCAGTCTTCTGACTGCTGAAAATAATACCATACTAAGATGTTAAAGCCTCACAAATTACACAATTTTTAGAAATTCATACACAGCTAGCAACTTGATCCCTCTTCCAAATTTTGTCAAGTTTGATGGAATGGTACAATCAAACTCCATTAAATCAAAACTCACGTGTGTCCTTAATGCACTGATTTCCTGTATAACCTATTTCTCTTTTTCCCTGTATAAAAAGAGCTCTACTGGTTATCCAAACCTATACAGTCTTACCAGCTTGGAAAACAAATTGTTCTGTAGTGAAGTAAACAGACAGCTTGCTATTTCAGCACTTCAAATAGTCTCCTGTTACCAGAAGAAAACAGATTTTTTAGTAACATCTGTTTTTAAAAAGAGAACATAAAAGCATTTGTGGTAATCACATTTGGCCAATAGGAATAGCCTGGCATTTAGGATATCTGCATAAGAATTCTACTGTGTTTAGAAGTCCAAAAGATGGAATGACTGAAATGTTAAACTGTAGCACCAGTAATACTTACTTTCCTAAAACCAAATCCTAAGGACTGGAAGGAAATTAAGACAGAACAGGAACATTGTGCTTACATTGCATTAAATAGAAAACAATGGGTTGGTCATACTTGAGTTTGCACTTCAGTAAAGTCTGGCCACATTTGCAGTTCTACTGGAAGGGTACTGGAACAGGGCACATGTTTTCTTGTCAGCCTTCTGGGTTTCATTCGTCCTGTTTCCTCTTGGGCTTTTTGGGATTCCGAGATCGGCTCTTTGCTTTGCAGAGCGGACATATGGGTGCATTCCGATGAATTTGTTGGTGACACGATAAACATGCCTGAAATGCGACATTGCAGCCTCTTGTTACAGACATTTAAGTGGCATTGTTACATTGGTTACTAAGTATCATATTCTAAGTTACATTACAGAAAAAAATAACTAAGGCTTCTTGCCTTCAAAAGCAAACCAGTGCTACATTCTATACAGTCCAGGTCTCTGGATTGTACAGTAACTTCAGGCCAACTGAAAAACTAGAGTATCTCACTGAATTAAAACTACAGGTTCAGCAGACACATGGTTCAGGCATGTATCAGTAACTCAAACATTAAAATCTATTTTGTGTTAAATATTCCACATGTTTTGAGGATGTTTACATGTGTAATAGTTCATTGAGTCAGAGAAGTTACAGCGAAGGCCAACTGTGATGTCTCGGAATTCAAGGCAGGAGTGAGTGGTTAGATGAATTCCATATATTTAACACGATACAGAACTCTGCCCTTTTGCTCCATGCGAAGCCATTTAACTTCCATTTGACTGAAGCATATTACTTTCAGAAAAGCTTTTCGATGGCCTAGCTCCAGATAGTAAGTACGTAACTATGGAGTATACCTACATCAGTTTGCCTCCTTAGTGAGTCTTTGGAACTTGGAATTACTTAGCTCTTTTTACTGACTACAGAAGGAGCTGAGTAAAACTCACTTAAGTGCCCGTGGTTAGGTTAAATTAATCCATATGTTAGTCTTGACTTGAAGATCCCCAAAATTGCAGAAATAATCAATTTTCCTGGTAATTTGTACCACCAGCAATTACTCTCCCTCATAAAATACGTGTTTTCATTCTAATATGAATGCATTTGGGATTAATTCCCAGCTATTAGTTTTTCTTTTGCCCAGCATTTTTTTTTTTCTTACATGCCTTTCTCCCACATGAAACACAAGAGGAGTGGGAATTGCCTAAATCTCTTCTGATGGAGACTCTTAAATCATAAAGGTGTCAAATTATACAGAGCCTCGTCCTTAACCCTTGGTGCTACTACTTTAAGTCTACTGGGGTTGCTCTTCATTTGGAACACTGCAGGAAAAATCGGGAACAATACATTCCAATGACAAAAGAGAAAAGCCAGCAGATTCCATCTCCTGACCTTCATTGGAGGTGGCTGTTGTCTGAAAGTTGCTGTCTGTCTGGTATCTTGTTTCCGAGCCACTTGCAGCTGTTGAGCAGCCGCTGCAGCTGCAGCCAGAGACTCCGGGATCGGAGGCTCCTGTGGTTCTGTCTGCCATTCTGCTTTCTGCTTTTCAAAGTAGCTAGACAAAAGAAAAACAAAGAAGAAATATAACCACCTTCTGGAGTACTCTATTAGTTTGTAAAGGGTATTTTGTGTTAATATATAATAGATCACAATTCACTATCATGTTCCTCCACTGGAGTCCAATTGCCTACGCTTAGACACTGTTTGGACTAGCTCATAAATAGAATTGGTGGTATTTTCCTTTGCATTTGTACACTTTAGCCAGATTCCAGATTGTCAGCTTCTAAGATATCTTGATGTACAACTGGATATAAATCTAATGGAATGAAGAGTAGACAACATACATATTTCATCTTTAACAGCTTTAGATACACCTCTGTCAAACTCAGTTTTTACATTTTGTTCTGTTAAAGTGAATAACTTTTGTATCCAATAGATTAATACATTCTTTGTCAGTGTCAGGGTGCTTGGAATGGAAAACAGCATTTCTGAAGAAATGCAAAGGAAATCTTGAAAACTGTCCGTGAAAACAGTGCCAAATATGCTGGGTGTTGAGTAAGTTTCTTAAAACATCACTTGCATTTAAAACTGATCTGTTCAACAAAGGACACTTTTCTTTGAATAGTAGCTAATCTGTCACCTTCCTTCACCTAGGGTACACCTAAAAATGAAACTGTAATTTATTATCCAAATCTCTTCCACATCTAGGGTAAAGTTACTTGTTGACAGTCATAGGTATGGCTAAATGCCATCACCGTGTGCGTGCAGCAAAAAGTAAAATTCTGACTAGCAGTAGCACAAACCAACTGAAGAATACTTGTTTTGTATCCCTTTCTTGTATTGCCTCTTACCTCTGCTTGCTAAACAAGCCAGAAAAAAAAAATATTTTCAGGAAGAAAAAAGTTGCTAGAGAAAGCAACATATGGTATAAAAATCCAAAGAGCCAACCACCCTTAAATTTTTGTATGTCATATGTAGAGTTTGCAGCTTGGAATAATCTAAATTTAACTTCCAAGTTCAGACTGAATGTTAACAAATATGTGTGCTTCCACATCCCTTTTTTGTTAACTTTTGGTTTTCATGCTTAGTTTTGCCTACCAACAAGAATAAAATGACAGAATAACCAGTGGAATTGAGAGAAGGTATAAGCCAGATAATGTTTGCTTTCAAGACTTACTCAAGGGACAGTTTCTCTTCCTCCTCACATAGATCTGGCAGCCTCTGCAATCCCAGAGTCATCCGCAAAGCATCTACGTGCTCCTTCAGGGGTTTGTACTCCTCATGCAGGCGACGAGTAGATTCCAAGAGCTTGTTGAGATCGTTCTCAGACTGCTTGATGGTGTTCTCCATCTGAAACAGGAGAATGGGCATGCTTTTAAAGAACTGTTCCTTTAATAGCTCTCTGATTGAACAAGAGACTGTATCAGAAATAAGAGATTTTTCTTACGCTGGAAGAGATTGGAGACAATGCAATGGTAAAACAAAGAGTTAAGATACTGGGAGGATGAAAACTGGGCAAGGAAGAAGCAACTGAAAGTGACATACAAGATGTGTTTTCATTCGAAAAGGGTGCACTCAACATATAAGAGCTGCATAACAGAAAAAGCAGGTAGACAGGCTACAGATAAGTCAGCAAGTGAGGAGCTATGGAAAACACTCAAGGGACATTAAAAAACATACTAAAGTAGAATAAACTAATATGATGTGTTTCTGAGATACCTGAACACTGATGGTTAGAAGTTAGCAAACAAGCTAAGGAAAGGTTCCTGATTCTCTTACTGCAGTAAATGGGAAAAGCAGCAGGGAAAAAGACAATCTGAGAGGAAAAAGAGGGGAGGGTGAAACGGAGACAGGTTATGCAGCTGGGTAGGGAAACAGGCATTTCAAGTGATAAATAAATGCAGTCTGCACATCCAGTATGTAGCTTGTACTTGCTTACAGTGTGGGAGCTTTTTTCTTCTAGTGCAAAGCACAGATACCTTCAGAGCTAGAAACCACTGTACAGTCATATAAGTTCCCTAACATGGCATAAAAACTGCAGGTTTAAATATGTATTCCCCATTTAGCCCCTCTAATTGGCTGATCTTCTATAAACTGTTTTTCTCTTATTTGTATTAATTCCTTCAGGCTGGTGCTTCTTAATATTTGGTGGTTCCATTCAGTGATCAAGGTCAGCTTTTGCTAGGAACTTAACAAATATCATATATTTTCCCCAAATCTCTTTTCTAACAAAAACCTCCAATCAAAAGTCCCACCTCGATGCCAAAGTTTCTCTGTTTCCAGGTGCTAAATCAGAAAAGACTAACAGGAAGAAAAGTTTTGTATGGGACTGCCAGAGTGATGTTACTGTGGCTGCTGGTAAGGTTGTGGCCACAATGGGCTTGGTTACACTCTGGGTGCAAATGCTTACTATGCCAACATTACCAAATATCCAGCCCAACACAGACGGGAAAAAACAATTATCCTGAGGTAAATTTACTTTGCACTCTTTGTAGGATCCTAGGATGGTGTTATAAAGTCCAGACTATTGAACCAGTGATGGTTCACTGATGTGCACAATTCCACAACCTGTGGAACAATTCATATGTAAGTGTGACTTAGTCAGGCTGTCTTCAGCTGGGCTGTGCGTACCACATTAATATCAGCATGGATCAGTCGCAGCTCCTCCACATGGGCCATCTTCTCTTGCAGCAGCAGGTCCATCTCCTGTTTGTATTCTTTCAGGTGCCTCTCCTCAGACTCCAGGGCTTCAAATTCTGCTTTTAGCCGTGCCTTTATTTTTTCCATCTGCAAAGTTTTATTCCTGGATCCAAGTGATAATTAAAAATACAGAGAGATGACAGTAAGTGACTGCAATATATTTTTGCGAGGTGTCACTTTATATGTGAATAGATGGAAGAAGGTAATAGCAGTAATAGACAAGGGTGAGACTAAACGTGAGAAAGGATGAGGTGCGATAAGTGAATTCTAATTCCAGCTCTTTTGCTCAGCTTTTCAGTGCTGTGAGAATTCTTGTACTGAATTATGAAATTAACAGAACATTGTCAGACTTTAACAGTTACTGTAGTTTCAGAGAATTTGTACCAATAGAATTCTACTGCATCTGTTAATTCAGATTAAACCCTTGCTCCAAAATAGAGAAATCCAGAAAATCTAGGAGGTTTAGCACAGGATTCTGAGAAATGTAAAATGAATTAGAGGGGCATTATAGTGTCATGTACATTGAGTAAAACTATATGGACAGTACTTTGAACTGCTAAAATACTAACTTCAACATCAGGTTAAAGAAAATTCCAGAGCAACAACATCAGAATAGTAAAAACTCAAATGACACTGGCCATCAACATCCCACTTGCAAGTAATTCTGCATTCTCTTGGTTCTTTGCTAAGACCTAGTACCCGTCACGTATTTATAAATGTTTCTGCCCATACTCTGCATTCTGATTGTTTTTTTTTTTCATTTGTGCCAATCCATAATTCCATAACAAAAATGTTTAGATGCTCAGCCCTTATTTCTATCTTCAAAAGTAATAATCAAGGAGTGTGAGTTTCAATCATCAGACAGTTTTAAGCAGCAGAACAGCCTACTGCTGTTGTGATTCAATATTTGTCCAAGCTGTTGAACAGAACAAACAAACTGTTCTTGTTCCTGCGATTTAGTTAATAGATGCCTTAGTTATTTTTCCTGTATTGGAAGTTAGAATATGATACTGACAATGTGTCAACAACACTTAAATGTTTCAACAAGAGGCTGCAATGTCACATTTCAGGCATGTAATCAAGAGTTCCAGAACTCCTTACTTTACCTTGTGTGAAACAAAGAAGAACGTACCATTCCTTTTTAGTCACCTAAAGCCTAGTACAAATAGATCCATAGAGGTTTCCAAGTACACTACTAAATAGCACATTAGACCTCCTACAGGCATGATGTAAGAGGGAGCTGGGGAAGAAGATTTAAAGTGGAACAATAGAAAAATTGAAGGTCAGAGGGACTGTTGCTTGTTTCCTTAGAACAAAGTAGGACAAAATTCTGCCTTGTGTTATTCGCAGTGATGGCAACCCACAAATGTTACAAATAGAAATACCAGACCAAAAATAGCTACAGAAAAAGCAAATGATAATGTCACATCAGAGGTCACTCAGAGACATTTACAGATATTGTGGAAGATGTATTTAAGACCAAATTTGATAAAATTCACTTGCTAAGTATGATTATTATGTCCATACTGTAGCTCACTATAGAGTTCACCTTGTTTCATATAGTATGTTTATTATAGAAAATACAGATTGCACACTACATTTATTTTAAAGGTTACACAGTCATTCCAGTTCTGAAAAGTCCGTATCTCACCATTAGAGTAAAAAGTAGCTGATGGAATAATAAATCAACTAGTAAAAATTTTATGAATGAAGTGCAGAAGACTGGATGTAGGTAGAATTCAAGTATGTAGCTACAACATTGTAATCTTTAATGCCATTGAAGGTGTTCTGTCATTTACTATACAATGGCATATACTAGTCTGAATGTAAATATTGGACTTAAACCAGTAAAAGAGGTCCTCTCTGCCTTCCATTTTAAATGTGGCAATATCTCACTAAAAAGTACCGTCCAACCATCTACCCCTGTTTTCATCAAGTCTCATTGCTCCCATTTACTTAAAACATTTATTTAGTAATGGCAACTTTGATTACCGAAACTGGGAATTATTTGTTCCCAATTTCCTCTCTTGCATTTATGGCATGTGGTCACCTGAGACAATGGGAACAGATCAGTTTCCTCACTGTTACTAGTCATGGGCTGCCATGCTCTGCCAAAGCTGCTACAACAAATTAGTTGCAGGGGATAGTTTCAGTCCAAATTACTGAATTTTGATATTCGGAAAGAAAAAGTGCACACAAATTAAAACTGTTAGCATCAGGCAACATGCAGTAACATTTTAAAACAGAAACTGTCTGTGTGATTTCTAGACTGCCTAATGAATTCTGCCCTCATACTCTTTTCCCTTCTATTTAAGTTCTTACACTGCATTGATGACAGTAGTTGCTAAGTGCATCCTAGTAGAGCATTAAGCAGTTAAACTAGTATCTGTCATCAATATATTCACTCATTTTCTTTTATCTCTTCCCAGTTAGAACACTGAGGTGCAGTCTTTATGCATTTGCTTAATTTTATGACTGGGGTTATTTCTGTGGAACTACTTAATGCATATAAATAAGCATGTGCAGATATGTTTGAACTGTGGGCATATACATGTTTACTGACAGCGGTATTCCACTGACTACAAGTTATATGTATGTATCTGGAGATACAGATATGGATATGGATATGAGTCTTAAAAATCAGATTCCATAATCTCTTCCAAACCCATCTGAGCTGCCTTTAATAAGTGATAGAGATCAACCACTGGAATGAGAATTTTCTTTGATTTTGGTTGTGAGGGCTTTTTGCCTCTCTGCCTGTAGTATAACACATGGAATGCAGACTAAATTACGGCCTGCCAAATCTGTCAAAGGTGTGTCTGTAAACATAAGAAATTCTCATGTTTATTTTGAAGGAAATTCTTCATAGAATGCAAACTCCTTTTAAAAGATTGGGGATGAAAAAATAGGTTTGATCAGATTTTGTTAAAGGTGACTCAAAATTTACATCATCGTTGCAAGTAGGATTGACTTTTTCACACTGATTTTTTTTTTTAATTTAAAATATAAGCTACTTTCTTGATACTTCATTCTACACTAAAGTTAGTAACATCACCTTTACAGTACCTTATGCCACAAACTAAGAGCAAAAATGTCTTAATTACAGTTTATAGATCACCTTTGAATATATTCTCAGAAAACTGAATGCGCCATAAATTTCCAAACACAGGATACCAATCTCTCTGAAAAGATAATTTAATGAGATATTTAAATTAAGTGCTATAATAATTGGACCACAAACTGTACTAGGCCATACTTAGATCTGTATTTTAAAACAGAGCCTGCCTAACAGTTGAATGGAAACGCATTGTTCTTACTCTGCAAAGTATGTGTTGTCCCATCTCTTACTACAAATAGGTTTGGGATGCTAGACACACAAATATTTTTGCTTGATCTTTGTTCACCTTTGTGGTACTGTGTGAAGAAGGCCAAGGCCCATTCACTGCTGCCTAATTCACCTCTTCCATGGGTAAAACGTGCTTCTCAGAGGGGCTGTTTCTGGCCCGAAGTCTCGGTGACCATCCGCACACGCTGCCGGTGCCAGCGCCTTTGTCCCCTGCCCTCTCTCCAGCTCTCCTGTCCCAAACCAGTTCTCCTCGCTCTGGTGTTACCTACTGCCAGCATGCCTTGTGCCTCCCAAGTAGGTCCAAAATCACTGCCCTCACTTTCTTTGTAACGTGTTTTGGCTTTTGGATGCATGAATTCTTACTAAATACAGACAGCTCTGGCCTGATTCTGGAAATCCATGCCCTGAGCCAAAGAGTAAAAACGCCCAACCCAAAGCTAAGGAGGAGGCACGCCCCCGACATGGGCACACACGCTGCTGTGCCTTGGTGTTTACAAGCTCCCCCCCCCTCAATGCACCCTGTGATCTACCAGCCGAAGGACGTTACCCCCAAATTCCCGGTGCGTGGCGTTGCCCGGCTGAGCCAGCCGCCAGCCTCGGGGCCCGACCTGGAGGGGCCGCCCCAAAAAGCCTGGCACCGGTGTGTCCCCCCCCCCCCCCACCTCTCCCTGTGACACGCTGGCACCCCCGTGGCTCGCCGGATCGCGGTGGGGGGGGGGCCAGAAGCAGCGGGCAGAGGGACCCTCGGTGGGCTTTCCTCGCCGGCCTCCTCGCCGCCGGGCGAGCGGGCAGGCAGGGCGGACAGAAGCCAGCTCAGCGCTGGCCGCTTCCCGGGTTCAGTTGCTCCCCTCTTGTACAAATCCAGGTCACAGCCCCAGCTCAAAGCTCAGCCTGAACGCCCTGACCCCCGGCCGCTGCCCCCCGGTGCCCTGCCCGGCCCTGCTCGGATGTTTGTCCGTGCTGCTCCCGGGGCACGTCCATCCTCAGCTCTCGGTGCCATACTCTGCTTTTCGTGCCCCCCCCTTTCCTTTCCCAGCCCGTCAAGGCTCCTGCTGGGGAGTGAGTGGGGCAAAATAATAGATTTATGACAGAGAGCCTCAGGAATAAGAAATAATCATTCAAAAGGCTTAAAAAAAAAAAAAAAACAAACAAACCAAAACAAAACAAACCCACCCGCGGCCGACACCACTCCCCCAGCTGCGTGGGGCTGCTGCGCCCTTCCCACCCGCGCACTCTTCCTTCTCGTGTTATCATTCAGGGCTGATTCTCTGGAAATGCACGACCATTGCCGCCCTTCCCTGCCTATTCCTGCGGCGATTCCCAGCAGCAGATGCACCTACCCTACTTAGAAAAATGTATTTTCTGTTCTTATCATAAAGCCCAGCGTGGTTTTCTTTCCTTCAGGAGCACAATAGCTACTTTCAGATAGATGCAACTCCTCCGCTCCCCCGAGGAAAAAGCCGCTGCGTGTAGCCGATGCGGCACAAAGCAAACATACCTGATCTCCTTGATGCTCTCGAGTTTGCACATAATTTCCTGCTCATCTGCCATGTTTTTCGCTCCCAATTTAAACCACCCGTCAAATGTACAAAATGCCAGAGGAAAAAAAAAGAAAATAACATACAATAGACACAATGTAGTCCCCCCCTCCCAGCATATGGTCTCTGAGCCTGTGCGGTAGGCTCTAGTGGGAGCTGTGGGACTTAGAGTCCAGCTCCCGATTGCTGCCCGGGCAGAGAGGCAGCAGAAAGACTACAACACCCAGAAGGCAGAGCAGAGCTTTCCTGCCCTTCTTCCTGCAACTGTATTTTAAATCAATTTGTCACACCTCATTATGTCAAAGGTTGTTAGGAACGCAAAAAGCGCAGAGGCTTCCTCGTGAGAGCTGTGCAATGTTTAGCATTTCATTAAAATAATCAAATACGCACTAAGAGACTGACAAATGAGTTCACGATTTTGATCAAAACCCTTTTCTGACACAAAGGCATGCTGTAGCCATTATTACTACCATGATGATTTCTACTAGATGCTGTGAGTGATGTGACTGTGTCTGGAGTTCAGAAAAGACGTTTTGTTATTTAGGTTTTTCTTTTTTATTTCTGCTACTATACATAGCATTTGTAACTATGGGGGAAAAAAACTCAACCAACCAACCAACCAATACCAAACCAAACCCAAAACAAAAAAACCCCAACCAGAATGCAGATAATACTGTTGGATTGAGAAAAGTGACTGTTGGTCTTTCTATAGACATTCTAGCCAAGAATGTCTGAGCACTTTACAGAGATTGATTAATAGACTCTTTTCCTTTCCTCAGCCAGGTAATTATTTTCCTTCAGCATCTGTAATGCACTAAGTACTGTATTTTAAGATACGAGAATAACAGTTGTATCTCAACACTTTGCAAGGTCTCTTCCAGGGTCTGTCCTAAGGGATCCACAGTGTAAATCCATGATCCTTCACCTGGATGCTGGCGTTTACCAGCTCTGATGGTCATGCTGGGGTGAAGGCTCAGAACGTTAGAATGAATGTTAAGCTCAAGGTCTAGACAGTCAGTAGGGAAATCAGATTGTGCAAACATAAACTTCTGTGTGTTACAAATGTACAAGCAGCAGTACCATAGTCTTAGTGAATATAGCGGACCACTCATCAGTCAGTAGTGTGAGGCTGATGAGAACAGGCCAATTATTCTGGAATATGTTACAGAAATGTTATATGGAAGGCACTGGAAGTACTTAACCTCTACTCAGCACTGATCAAACTTGCTGGTGTCTGGTCTGGGGCTCTGAAATGGAGGTGAAAAATAAAAATGGACAGAATGCAGAGGAGAGCAATGAAAATGGTGAGAATTTTGGAGAACACAGAAGGCGGCTGCGTACAAGTAAATATGGCATGTGTTAGATCTGCTTGAGTTAGGACTTATGGTCACAGAACTGAATGTCTTGAGCCATTTGCACCTACAGTTACAGACTAAAGGCCCTCATGTAGGAATATGTGTGTCTGGAAAGCTAGCAAACTACAGTATGAGGTAGTAAGCAGTGTGAGCCATTGGGCTGTCGTGCTTCGGCTCCAACACTGAGCAAATAGAATGGTATAGTTGTAGCTCATAATAACAATAGTCTTTCACTGTGAAAAAGGTATTTGAAGAGCAAATCATCTGCTAGGGCTCAGCAAATCATCTGCTAGGTCAGCAGGGAGAGAAGTCTAAAAAGTAATCTATTTAATGAGCAATACAGAAAGTTTAGGACATATTTCAGTAAAATGTCCGACTACAGAGTGCCTCACTAGGAAGAACCATCTGGGAGGTAGAAGAGTATCCAAATTGTTTTTAAGAACTACTTAGATAAAGGTGTCTTCATACAAATCCAAGTGCTGAAGATCCTTGCTTTGAGGTAGGGGTTTTGACCTGATCAGGGTTGAGTTACCCTTACAAATGTGGTATATAACCTGCCACTACAATGACCTGCTCCTGCTTCTTTAGTGACCTCTCAACATGGCCAGGGGCCTGGGTACTGGATGAGTTGTCACACATGAGCATGGATTTAAGTGTCTGCATTAGGTTCTCAAGTCAGAGAGGGCTGAAAAATCAAAGGATGTGTTGTGGCAGAGGAAGACCTCTCACCGGGAGTCACTGAGAATGAAAAAGAGCAGAAACCCAGGAGGGATTGTCTGGAGAAAGGAGGGGGCCTGAGACTGGAGTGGCAGCTGGGAGGAAGGCAGGCATGCAGGTCTGAAAATAAAGCTCATTTGGAATTTTTGCCTATCCAAGGCTTCAAAGGGGTAACTTCTACTTATCTGTAAATATTTCCTGCTATTTTTTTTTTAAGAAACTAAAGTGTGTTCTCATTCAGTTGTTGACGCACTTATATAAGATATTGTCCATAACTTCCCCATTTATTGTCATGATGAGGAATCACAGTCTTCTCTTGTGCACTCAGCTGAGCTAAAACCAAAACTACAATAAAAATATCACTGTCTACCTTTGGAAATGACATGTATAGTCTGAAACAAATACAGAAAACCTACTGACAAACCAGGCACAAAAATGAAAGCAAAAAAGAAAAACACAAAATGTTTTGAGTAACAAAAGGAATTTAGGCCTGTAGAAGGGAATGTGACAGGCTAACATTGCCTCTACCCTCTCTTGACTTCTTGTCAAGGAGGAAGAAGAGGATTAATTTCCTGAATTCTGATACTAGGCTAAGTCTCAAAAAAATTTTTGCTAGTATATACCTTCTCTGCCCTGCCCTGCTTGCCAAATGATGATGTTTAAGCAAACCTTTTGTAACTGAGGCAGCAAATGTTTATCAGTGCAATATTCTTTTTCTTTCACAAAATACACTGAGTGATCAGTGTAATGTAATGCGGATCAGATCCTGTCTCAGGCAGTATGAAAAGCTGAAACTCCCCAGATATTCAGTTTGGCCCCTTTTTTTCTGCTTTCACTGGACAGTGGAAATTAATGATCCAGGAAATCAGGTCAGTCATAAGAACTCTTCAGTACTCAAGGATGACTTAAGAACCAGTGCACTGCCACTTTCTGCTCATTTTTTCCCTGATAATAGTAGCTTTAATAATATTTTTAAATGCTTTTAATACCCAGTGAAGTAAATGGGAATTTGGAATGAATGCAGACTCCAGTATCAGACCCCCATTTATTTTAAAAATGGGGTGTTTTAATAGCAAAAATTATTTGTTTTCATTAAGCACAGATAAGCAGAGTTGTTTTGTTTTTTTTTTTTCCCCTTTGGTTTACCTGTGTTCTCTAACACGCACTTTACTATTCTCTTGTTCTCTGTGGCAGTCTGTTTTCTCTAAGTGCTTTTACTGCTTCTTCTATTTACCACTGTTGTCCCTTGTGCTGCTTTGGAGCAGGGATGCCATTTTTATATACACATGTAAAGTAATATAAATTTGCATGAAGTTATGAAGCCAACATAAATCTCAGAAGCTAACGCCATGTATTACTGCAATACTTGGTAACAGAACTCACATAGTCTAGGTGAAATAGCTGGTTCTGAACTAAAAATTGATCTTGGAAACCTTGCACGCCATAGTCCACAGCATTTCACATGGAAGATTTGTGCTGTATAATGGACTCGAGGTGTTGGGAATCACCCTTACCAGTTTTCTACCCATGTGAGGTTTTTTTTTTTTAGGGAAGTTGTAAACTGAAGCTGTGGAGAGACTTGGATGAGGGTGCTGGAGTTGGAAGAAAATAAAAAGCCAGAAAACGGGCTTCAGAGCTGAGCTGCTGTGACTGAAGTTTGTCCTCAGTCTGAGGCAGGAAAGTTCCTAATAGCTGGAGTAAACAGCCTCAAACTGAGATTTCTAAATAGCTGTTAGAGAAAATAGCTGAATGGATTTTTGTTTGTCCTGCCTTTCACTCTTTTAACCATAATAAAGATAAATCCCTTAATGGATGCTTTTGACTAGCCACTGAAGCACCTGGGTTGATACAGGATGTGAAGCAAGCCACATTCTCTCAAGGATTAATAGTGAATAGTTTGATTACTTATTTACACTTCATTAGTAACTTGGTATTTGCTTTTTGAGAAGTAGTTTTCATGAGAGTAGCAGTGTCAGCTCTGAGACAATGTGGGTTGTAGGTAGTTGGTATCTCTGAACAGTGAGATCTTCCCTGTCATGAATTTCATCATGTTAGCGTCTACAGTCTTAAGCTATGGGGCAGGATCCCTTAATAATTAGCACTGTAGAAATCCAAGGACAAAAGCTGGTGTTTCCTGTTACAAGGAAAGAAATAAAAGAGAATGAAGGAAAAAAGATAGGAGCACTGGACATGAAAAGCAGAGGGTGAGGTTCACCTAATCCCTGAGCAAGTGGCAATAGTGATCAGACATTCTCCCTCAGGCAAAAAATTATTAATGTTCATAATCTATTTACCACTAATTAATAACCAGAAGTTAAATAGAGTTAATAACTCAGATGACTTGCACAAAATATCTACCTTCTTTTTCTATCGATTCCACTAAACAATAAATTAAGACATAAATTGAAGGTTTCAAGCATTATAAAAGTTGTTTCAGTCTTATGAATCTTCCTAGTAATGATTTTGAGGATTTATCTGTATTATACAAATCCAGTTTTTGCAAGTGCACCTTTGCTGACACTGCAGAAGACATATTTCTGAAACAGATAATGAATAAGCTGCAGTTGTGAATGGGGACATATTTTAGTTATTTTCTTCATTATTTAAGGACTTTTCCCTATTGTGGTTTGTTCTTCAATTAAGGAAAAAAAGATAAAGGAAAATGGTGATAGGCATCAGCATCCTCTTCATCTCACAGCTTTTGTAAAGAAATTAGAACATACCAGGTCTGATTCTGGTGTGATTTGAGTCAATTGCAAACTTGCTGCCTTAAAAATTGAAGACTGTTGGACTGAGCCTTAAGTGAGATGTGTGCTCAAAGTGGGCAGGCTTCTTTGATGCATGATTTAAATAGATGAACTAATTGATTTGAGGGGGTAGGAAACAAGTTAGCTACAGTGGGCCAGTGAATCTTGTTGCTAAGACACTAAGGGAGTGAGAGGCAGGGTGAAGATATGAGAGGAAGAAAAGGGAAGTCCCCTCTAACAGGAGTGATGAGAATCCCAGCCAACATTTGCAATGTTTATCCTATTTTTAATTTCTGATTTTACAGGCTAAATTGTAGGGTCAGGGACAGAAAATGACAATGCAGAT